GACCTCCGATTAGTAGTAAACAAACGCCCAATCCCAGAGATATCATTCATCATACATCATTAACTCATTAGTTGAAAACATTAAACCACCATATCCCCATTATGCTGCGGTGTAATAGGAACAATAGTTCTACTACTTTCCCTCCCCTTCCTATCCCCATACCCATAGTCGAATCCCTGATCCGTTTCCAACTCTTTACTCATAGCAATCTCTTTGGTGAAGATCAAACTAGTAACAAAAGCCAGTCCAGCCAATGCACACATAACAATCCATACCATTCTCAAGCTCTCGACATAAGCTCCAATGACCACTTGCTTCATTTCTCCCTCTGCGCCGGTATTTGACCATGCCTTCACAATTTTTACAAATGCAGATGCATCTTTTGACCATTCGTTTGCATAGACGGCATAGGATGTTTTGAGAATTTTGTTCTGGAATGTGTTTTGAAAGATGACACCAGAAATTGCGACGCCGATTGTTTGGCCAAAGGCTCGAAAAAAAGAGTACATAGCTCCGGCAAAGGGAAGGTCGGTATTGGTAACTGAGGCTTGAGCTGCGAAGCCTTGAGCGGAAAATAGGGTGCCCAATCCAACACCTGGAACGAGGTTCAAGAAGATCCAGGATACTGTTGAAGTGGATTCTTTGAGAAGGATGAGAAGACCGAGTCCTAAGGTAGAGATAGCCCATCCTACCCAGATCGAAGGGCGATAGCGACCGGTTTTGGCAATGATGAGACCAACTACCACAGCAGCCGGAGCGGTAGTGAAGGTCATCGGGAAAAGACCGATTCCGGATTGAATAGGAGTATAATTCTTAGCGACCTCAAAATACAAAGGCATGTAAAAGAGAATGGACCACACGCAAATTCCATGAACGAATGTGCCGAAGTAAGCGACTATTGCTGTGGAGGAGTTGAACAATGATCGTCGGATTAAAGGGTCACCTTTTTGGAAGATGGAGTAGATGAGGAATGCGATAAGGCCACCAACACCAACTAGTAATGGTACGAGTGTGCGAACAGAGCTCCAAGCATACATGACACCTCCCTGAATGAATGTTAGTATTTTCAAGATGGAAATTACACCAAGTAACTTGCCCAAGTAAGAGGAATCAAAAAACTAGTGACAGAAGCCACAAACAAGAATGATCCAAACCAATCAAAGGCCTTAAGCTTAGTCCACATAGAACCTTGCTTAATGTTCAGCTTCAAACATATTGGAATACCAATAGCACTGACAACACAAAAGGGGATGTTCAGCCAAAAGATCCACCTCCATGTAACCTTTTCTGCAAAAGCACCACCAATAACCGGGGCGATAACGGAACCAATAGCCCATTGAAGGGATATTATAGACATCCATTTACCGCGCTCACGGAGGGTGACCATATCAGCAAGAAGGACATAAGTCAAACTCACAAGGCCACCTCCCCCAATACCTTGAATACATCTTCCTACCAAGAGAAGCTCAATGTTCTTGGCGACGGAGCAAAGGATTGTGCCAACCGAGAAGAGGAATAGAGCGGTCAGGAGTACTGATTTTCGACCAATGATGTGAGAGAAAGCTGCCCATGTAGGCTGAAAGACTGTAGAGCATAGAAGAAATGATGTACCACACCAGAAAGCTTGCATCGCAGTGGCGTGTAAGCTTGTTGCAATGGTCTTCATTCACCAGTATTAGCCTCTCATCATCAATACATGATAAAGGATTAAAAGTATAAATCATCTTACAGGTAAAGCCACAGAGAGAATTGTGGCATCAATAGCACAAACGAGGTTGAGAATTGCCAAACAAGCAAAACTTCCATAGAATCTCCATCCTCTTTTCTTCGAGTCGGGCTCAGTTTGCATATTGGATTTTTCCATGTCAATACTTTCTGAGTCGGGAGACGAAACTCCTGGCGAGGGACTTAAAGCACTTGTTGATTCTTCATTCTCAATAAGTGATCGTTCTGGTGAGTATGTTCGGCCATACTGTGACGTATATTCTTCTGAGGCCGAAATGTTAGGGGGTAGATGGGTCTCGGAATTTCTGCTTCCAGGCAATGATGTGTACATGTTGGCTGCGGTTGGATACCAAAAGGTACAAGATCTGTGGATTTCGAAAGGCACCGGATTCTGATGCAAGTAAAAAAGATTATAGAATGCGAACAGAGTTCAACAAGAACGGATGTAGACAAACTATCGAACATCGGGATATTCACACTGACCCATGAAGTATTTAACTTCATCATCAATATCTGATCAGATACAGAATTTCTCCTTCACAAGCCACCATGGTATTTATCCCAAGATGTGTGGATCCTCAAATAGCTACAGGTACGGGTATCTTCACCCCCACTGCACCACACCATCTTGAGGGATTCTTCTGACGAAGATACAGAGGAACCTCACGGACGCGCATTCCTCGAAAATGGCATCATGTAAGATGCAGGTCAGATTCTATGGTTATCAATGTGGCTCCTATACGAAGCTGATGCGAGAGGTCATCAAATCCGGTTAATCCTGTCGGATGCTGAAGCGAGCGTTCATCACTGGATGGATGAGCTGCAAACGCTGCGGCTGCGCCACGCCTCAAAATAAGACCCAACGAACACACTTGCGATCGTAGTCAAAAACCACACGTCTAAAACAAAAGACTATTGGCGCGATAAAGGATCCATATCGTGGTAGAATAGTGTCACAAAGATTAGCTTTCGTGGTTAAAACGTGGTGTTGGCAGTCAGATAGTGGAGATGTTGGATATAACATGGAGGGGCAAAATGGGTTTCAGATACCAACTTTTAATCAGTTGTTCTCGAATTTTGTTCATTCGAAACAGCTCGCAAGTGTGAGCGATTCGATGGCGATACGATGATGTACCTTGAGCGAGTACTGATTGATGGGATAACGTTGGGTGGCCGAGTACAAACACTTTCGTCCCCCACGTAGTATCGGAATCGCACTACCGTGAGAAGGTTCCTTCCCTCCGAGATTTGCGCGATAACCATAAATCCATTTACCGGAATACTGTTGCGGATTTCCTTTCTTGAACTTTTGGTTGCAATAATGATTCATGATAGAATATCCACGGTCGGCATTGATGAGGTTGCATTGACATGCTAAGGATAGATATCTTCAGCATATCCACGAGCCCCCAATATCGCCCCGCTACTGCACGTAAATCGTTAATCAATACTGATAGGCTTTGCACAGCCCTCAATTTCGAGCCTCATCATACTGAAAGCCCTATAGGAGTTATTCTTCAATCGTTCTTCCGTTGCATCACATGGAATTTATTTTTGGGCACCAATAGCGTTGGCTGATGATCTGATTTGGTGTGCCTCAGTGCAGATGGTTATTCTATGTACTTGCATGTATTGATGTACACGTCGTCAGATGATGGGATTCAGCCTTGATTAGATGGTACTGTCATGAAGATTTGAGTATTAGATAGTTCAAAAGAAGTCGTCACCTTCCCTTTAGGATTCCTCGATAGGATTTCAAGTGGATGATTAATCGGGTGAATTCTTAGCATTGTGTTATTTTTGAACGGCCTAGAGCATTTGAGGCGAATCACGAAGTATCGTAACATTGTGACACGTTGTTTATTAAAGGGAGATACAAGAATAACTTCAAATCATTTCCATATAGAAAGTATAGGCTGATTGTTATCTGGAGAATATTTGGGTGGGAATTTTGAGGTTATGTTAGTTCATTATCCGAGCGGTTTATGGAGGATCCAACTTCGATCGTAGCGCCTTTCCAAAGACAACTTCCGCTCACCTAGCGCTGGTACTTTACATACATGAGATGCATTGCCGGATTGTTGATCTGAAGATATCTTGGCGTGATACACAACTACATGGCACCAAGTCAAGGCTAGTTACCCCGCAATATGTATTTCTCATTTTGCAGCACTCCCAGAGGCCCCAAAGTTATTTTGACCAAACGTTCCGAGTCAAACTTCTATTCTCCTTCCTTGAACATGTAATTCTTGATTATTAAGTGAAGTATTTCAAAGATGTTGTACCATAAAGCTGTGTCTTGGATTTTCACGTCCTCACGAGACACGTGACCTAGAGGGTCCCGAGATAGCTTTTATGCTAAAAGCCCTGAAATAGATTGAGAGAGTCGGGTAGTCAATTTCTAACAGCAGCTCAAATGTTATTCTAAGACACTGTAAATTTCCCAGATTCATGACGCATCGAGCGGATGATGTCCCACGTTCTATAGCACGTGAGTGGCTTGACGGAAGCTAAAGATGACCCAATCTCAAAAGACTAGTGAGTATTCCAAATCGATTAGCGAGTTCGTAGTTCTTTGAATTTGTTTCTATGTAGCAGCACGGTCGTGATCTGTGCCATTTTAAGGCCATTTCACAAGTTGATTGGTCGAAGTCAAATGATCAAACTCGGCAGTACATTCTAGGCCTTGAGCTTGACTTCTCATCTGTAGATTAGACAATCATTGACCAAAGTATATTGAGTAGTGCCTAGTGATGATGCGGATTTCCCACCTTATTAGAACCCCGCAACGATCTTCAATCACGAACAGAGTAATTATGGAGAAGTCAATTGCTTTGGCTGGCTCACAAGTGAACATAACGTGGTATTCAATTTTATGAAATGGGACATAAACTATATACTTCGTAGGTGGCAGATGACTTCGTAAGCGACATCCAAAATTCGTAGAGATATTCTTCCATATGAAGCCTCCTTCAATCATTAAACTTCAACTTCAATCGCACTGACGTGCCATCACTTCCTTGAAGCGATCGAAAATATCTCCCATCTTTAATTTCCAACTTTAAAAAGATAACAGGAACCATCAGACATTCGAGTCCTTTTTCAAGGCGTGCCTCTTATCACCCTCATTATTTCCCCCTCAAAACTCTGAAATCTATTAGGGTAAGCTCTAAAGAAAAGCAAAAGTCCCAAATCTAGAGCATGTTGCCATAAAATCCCTGTTGCCTCTGTGTTCTCATCTATAACCGCACGCATGATCCGTTACCCACAAAGAATCACACCGCGCCGAGCAAAATTTCGCCTTTCGGTTTGGCCTGTAAGTTTGCGGGGGCATTCTTTCCTTCTGTCTTTGTATCTTTCGCCTTGACTTCGGGTGCTGGTTGGATTTGAGGTTGGATTGGAAGAGCCGGATCAACCTTAGCAGCGGGTAGGTCTTTGATCTCGAGTTTCTGGGCCGGAGGTGGAGCATTTGGATTTACAGGTAGCGAGCCATCCAAATTCCTCATGATGGAACCGTCCAAGTTCCTCACAGGAGAACCATCCGGATGAAATCCAGGCTGTGGCATTGGGATTGCGGCTTGAGGTATTGGATTCATGTTCTGTTGAGGCAAGTTCAATGCGTTAGGATCAAATTTTTGAGCCCCCATCTGAGCATGAAGTGCATCATGTTCATCCAAGGCCTTTTTTATTGCGATTTGCTGGTCTTTCTCTTCCGGTGACAGCTTTTCATACGCAGCCATGTTTTCATCCCATATCCTAACACACTCAGGTTCCCAATTGCATTTCTCTACTTCACCATATATTGGATGACTAAAACGGGGATGCAGTAGAGGCCACTCCGAGGCATGGTAATGATGTTTGACCAAAGCTCCCCTCGCATTATGATTCCCAGAATCCGAATGTCCTTGTCCGGCAGCAAACGCTTCGACAGTGAGAACCAAAAACCCTCCCACCAGCTTTGATTCTCGCATGGCGTGGAAGGTACTCCAATCAACCTGATCCCCAGTCTTAATAGTCATTTCTTTCAAAATTGCACCAGTAAATGCCGAAGGCCCCGTCCCCGAGATGACTTCATCAAAGTCAAGCTTGATCTCTGATATTGGAACATTCTGTTCTGCAGCAACATCATTCAACCACAGTAGGATGTTATCGACCAGTGCCAACATGACTGGAAGTCGAGGCTTGCACATAAATGTCCATTGACAGAATGATTGTGACTTTTGACCAAGAATTGGGTGGTCTTTGAAATCAGGTTGGTCGATTTCCACGCTAACAACCATATCTACATCTCCCACAGAATATCGATCAGGGATCCAGGCATCAACTGCCTTGAGCGCTTCAACATCAATGTCTGTATAGACTCCACCTTCAACGTACATTATCAAATATCGCAAAAGATCAGCCTTGATGATTTGTACTTTCAGTGATCGATACATCTCGACAATATCTGGCCTATCCAACTCATCTGGTCCGAAGTGCGTTTCGACATAATACATATCATTATTATCTGTTAAAACCTCGTATCGGTGTCCTGGATTTAACTGAGTCCAAGTCCTGGCACTCAAAAGATCTCTCTCTGCGAAGCCCAGTGGATCAACTTTCCATGTCTGCCATATCTTCCTTGGAAATGCTGCGGCCGTGCTACCTTTCAGGATTTTTTGCGTCGACCGTTTTGCATGTGAAACTGTAGATGATTTCAGAGTATCGACATTTGAGATGATCAGAATAAACAAGACGAGAATGGCATAAATCGGCAAAGCTCTCTGTATCTGTTTCGGTAGCCGACCGCCGAATTGAGAGGTCGTTTGCATACTTCGTGATCTGGTCCTTCGTAACTTTTCCATCATTGTATCACTGGAATCTGAACTCATTCTGCATGTGTGAGGAAGAGTGGCATGTTAACTTTCAACGACTATACTAAGAGATAAATCAGATGAAAGAAGAAAGAGTTACTCCGAGGTTTTTTTCTCCGAAATTTCGATAGATCGACAAATTAGATCTGGATAATTGACTTGTGAGAAAAGCGGGACGGACTTTCTGTTGGTTGACTGATTGAGGTGCAGGGTGGTATTCAATTTAACCTGACGTCAAGCATGGAAATAAACTTATTGGGAAATATCACAAAAACAACTCGGGTTTCACAAGCTTGTGAGTGAAGAATTACAAGTTGATGGCTGCACTTGGCAGGGGGCTCTCGGGGGTGTCTCATTGTGCCTGCTCAATAATACCTGGATATATGCACACTAATGCGATAATATGCGAAGATTATTGAGATAGGATCAAGTACCGTCCGTCAAAAGAACTTGAATTGCCGATCAGTGTCATTACTCAGTAGACCTGCTCGAGGCCAGACTGAGATAAGGTGGGAAGTGCCATGTCAATGTCCATGCAGATGCAAATGCAAATGCAGGCTACTTGTGCAAAATCCCGCAAAAAGAATGTAACAATGCAATATTAAAGTAGCGGCCGCGGTACACATGTGAAGGTTCTATCTAAGAAGCTTGATTTAATGACTGGTGAAAAGTTTACGAAGACGGTACCTTTGCCGGTCGTTCGCCAATCAGATCGTTCTAACGTTTGGTTTTGCCGACGCTAAACCCTATATTCCATGCTATCTCCGTGATTAGCTCTCGACAACCCACATCATGATCAACAGACAGACTCGACAGACTAGAGGGGTGAATGGACACGAACGACACAATATATTGGGGTACGAGGGTACCCATGAAGATGATGAAAAGGCCGTGAGAACTTCCCGCTGATCTTCCAATATTTCTCCAACATATTCCACTTTTGATATGGATTGCACCCCGTACACCCCGCATAATTGGACGTGCACGAACCTCGGGGAAGAAGTTCACGAAGAAAAACTAAACGTTGTCAATTATTGCTTGTGATTGTATTTCACGACTCAATAGCAGCACTAACGATGTCTATGTGTGGAAAGCCGATCAATTGAGACATGCATAACTCTGGATGCTCATGGCTTCGCACAGCATGCTGGCATGACAATTTCTTCAAGATTCATTTACAACTTCAACTTCTTCATCGATTTTGGTTCTCAGCACCTTTCGCAAAATCTTCAAGCTTGTGAATGATAAAGGTGTTCTGAAAATGCCTAGCGGATATCAAGGTATCCTCGACAATGGATTCATGGAGGAGATCAAAACAGATCAGCCATTGTTGTCTCCAAATGTCACCAAATCGCCTACCAAATACTGGAAACCTAAAAAGCTGTGTCCGGATTTTATAAAGCCTTCATTTCTAAGTAGGACGAGAGCGCCAGCTAAACCACTCCATGCAACTGCCTGGCTCGATGGATTGAGAGGATATGCAGCATTTCTGGTATACGTTCTGCATCATGAACTATGGGCCCACACCTTAGCGTATGGCAATTGGATCTTGGAGATGGGGTTTGGCTATGAGAAGAAATACTATGCGATTCAATTGCCTTTCGTTCGAACATTCTTCACCGGTGGCCATCTCGCTGTGACCACGTTTTTCGTGATTTCAGGATATGTTCTCTCCAGAAAGCCATTGATGCTCATTCAATCCGGAGATTTGGCAAAGCTTGGAGATAATCTGGCATCAGCATTATTCAGACGTTGGATAAGATTATGGCTTCCAGTAATTGCCACGACGTTCATGTATCTCACCATATGGCACATGTTTAATCTCTATCCACTGCCTAGGTCTGAACATGAGAAAACTTGGACCGGTGAGGTATGGAAATGGTACTTGGAGACCAAGAACTTCAGCTACATTTTCAGGACTGGTGGAGATCCTTGGTTTACTTATAATGTCCATGTGTGGTCGATACCAGTTGAATTGAAAGGTTCCATTACCATTTATACGGCTCTCGTGGCATTCTCACGATGCTCACGAAATGCGAGACTCTACCTCGAGCTCGGATTGATATACTACTTCATGTATATCGCGGATGGCGCTCACAATTCCATGTTTGTGGCTGGCATGCTTCTCTGCGATCTTGATCTGCTCGCCGAAAATGATGACTTGCCACGTTTCTTTTCTAGATTCGATTCTTGGAAAGAGCTCATTTTCTCGAACCTTTTTGTTGCCGCTATGTATCTTGGAGGTGTGCCTACTTTTGATTTGGATGAGAAGGTATTGAGGAACACCCCCGGGTGGCATTGTCTATCCTATCTGAAACCACAAGCCGTATTTGATTACAAGTGGTTCTACCTGTTCTTTGCCGCGACATTTCTCGTGGCATCTATACCTCGAATCCCATGGCTAAAGAGCTTCTTTGAAACTCGATTTTGCCAATACATGGGTCATATATCTTTCGCATTCTATCTTGTGCATGGACCCATCATGGCACTTCTGGGCGATAGATTATACTCCGCGGTCGGCTGGTCAAAAGAGATGTCGGATGAAATGGCACCGTGGAGAAATATATTCCCAATATCGAAAGTCGGGCCATTCGGGATGGAGCTGAGCTTCTTTGTTCCCCATTTGATCCTCTTCCCTGTTACAATTTGGATTGCGGAGATTGTTACGAGATTGATTGATGAACCTAGTGTGAGGTTTGCGCAATGGCTATACAGAAGAACTCTCGCACCATCACCTCGTTTGTAGAATTATGGAGCCAAATATTGGGTATCGATGTACTTGTCAGCTCGTTTAGGCGTTTTTTTAATTAGATTAGATGTCATGGATTGTGCCTTGTAATGACGAAGACCGGCTCGGTCAGTTTCCTCAAAAATCGTCTGACTGCAGCCCTTGATGCGGTGCCTTTAAAATCAATACCAACAATTGGTTCGTCAACACAATTCATGCCGCTTTTATTCATGTACCCCTGAAGCCACCTTATCAAATTCGCAAGTTTACCCCGCGGAGTCCGTCCGAGGTCAATAGGCAAAATGCATCTACAGGGGACGGGCTTTTGCATATGTAACTTCACAATCTTTGTTCAAGTGGGAGATAAGATTACTTGCCACCAGAATATTGCAAAACAGGCCAAAAATTAGCTTTCCCACACCTCCATGACCTTACCCCAACTTCATTTCCTTCTCAATGCCGGCCATACACTATGATTGTTCGTCCTGGAGCTCTGCTCCGATTCTTGCCATTAATCGTGATATCTTGTGTTATCTTGTATCATGGTTGGAACTCAGTGCGACCTACCCAAAGCATATATTCCTCTGCATATACAGCGCATCCTCAAGCTGGAAGGTATTTTGAACAAGTATTTTCGGTAAATGAGCCGGCAGATTATGATTTTCCAACTCTCAAACAACAATGCGAGGAGACGGAATGGCCGAAAAACGAGGTGTACTTAGATTGCAGTGGCATATTTGCGGGGTTGACAACAATCGTGTCTCAAGTAAAGGTTTGCTTGAAGATGGCCTTGGAGTCTGGCCACGGATTAATTCTACCATCGATTCACTATCGCGATAAAGATAACTTGCAAGAACTCAACCGTTTCAATGAAAAGGCATCCATGACTTATGGCGAATGGTTTGACGAAGTTCATTTACTGGAGCAAATGAAGAAAGCTTGTCCACAGATGCGAATCATCAAGCCTCGTGAAATCGAGTCTGGTGAAGTTATTGTGCAACATCGCTGGTCAATAGAACTCTCAGCCAAAACTGCTCCGGGGCTTGCGCTGTTCAAGGGATATTTCTGGAAAGGAAGGGGTTTCAAAGATTTCTTTGACACTCAATATACTCAATTAGAACAACTTTTCTTGTTAAATCCTGGAAACAAGCTTAATCATGGAGCTGGTATAATTGCCATAGAGATTAATCCTCAGTTCCTAATTTTCAGAATCACAGACGATGCGACTGGACAAGATCTCAAGTTATGGAATGACCTGGGATATCTTGTCCGGTTTAAAGAGCCTCCTCGTCGGGTCGTCGATCGCCTTTTAACTCAAATGGATCGTCCTTTCTACGGAGTTCATTTCAGAGTAGAGTCTGATCAAATATGGAGCTCCCTTGAAATTCAGCTTCAGAAAGATCTAGATGCTTTGGATCGCGCATGGCAGAAATATGGTAGTCCTAGCGAGGAAAAGCCTTTGGTTTATTTGGCTTGCGGAGATCAAAATCAAGTGATGAAATTCGTGGAGGCCGGGAAAGCCCGAGGTTGGAACGTCACACATAAGTGGAAACTGGCAGAGAAGGATGCCAATACTTTGAAGACCATCAACAAACTGAGTTTTGATTTTCAGGGTGCTATTGATATGGGAGTTATGCTCAACAGCCACTTTTTCTTGGGGATCACTGGGAGCGCGTTCTCATCTTCTGTTGCAAACGCTCGTGATTCCACTGGAAGGTACCGAGGAAGTTCTTTCTCCCTCTCCGACGATGGAGGTGCAAGAACTCATCTTTTCAATGATGGGGAGTCAAATTATTATCCTTGTTGCCTGTAATAATGCCATTTTTCGGATGAAGCAAGAGCAAAGTCATGTGTTCCAAGGTACCCGGAGAAGGCTCGTTTGTCTTTTACTTAATTTTTTGATTCTTTATACCCCTAGATATGTATCTTAGAAACAAGTTCTTTCTGCCGCAACATACGTTGTATTCTTGTAAATGTTCCAATGTATCCTCTGATTGTTCTAGCTCAAGTGTCAAACTGATGCCAAGCCATTTTTTATTCCTTACTTCGAAATCTATAATCTCACCCTTATCTCAAGCGATTCGAATAGCATCACTTAACTTCAAATGGATATGATATATAAATTCTTGTTATTGCCAGGCTAATCATTCTGAAAAGATGGCTATTCCGTACCCGCAATAATTTGCCGAAATTTACCCCTTCATTCTCGTCAGAATGGTTACAGACGACTGGTACGTCTAGGTAAGCGAATTCTTAGTGTATATCATATCACGCATTTCAAGATTGCTACTATGTCACGTCAGACAGGTTTTGAAAGAAACTTTAGTATAAAGTAATTATGGTGGAACTTTATTTCTGCTCTGAGAATGCACCAGTGCAACACGGCATTATCAAGATTATCAAGAGAGCTTTTGATGCGCTTAGTATCACTTAGTATTAGGTGCTCGCAGAACAAACCTTTGCTAACTGTTACACTGATCTAGGCAACTGGAGACCACATCCTTCCACACTTGTTGAGTCCTATGACAACTGAAAACCCACCCGCTTGCGCTTTTCCTACCAAACTCCACCCAGTAAGAAAATCCAACTCCCTCAGAAAATCAAATCATGTATTATAAATTTCGTTCCCCATTACGCCTGAGAGCGAAGTTGATCAGACGAAAGACCAACTTTCAAACCGTCCATGGCCAAGTTTCTTCTGGGCCCCCACACTAGTCGTGTTCAGCGGTTCAAAGAAATGACCAATGCTTGTGGTGATCTAATTGAAATCGCAGTCGTTACATTCATAGTGACCACAGCTATTGCAAGAGGTGGCTCCTGGCGCACCCGCAATGAGAGAAGTGTTTTGACCACATTTGCAACAGGTCATGATGGTTGCTGCATCAACAGCTGGGCCGCAGAACTCGCCAAGGTTGGTTAGGTTATTCATGGTGACCGATTCGGCAAGAATTGGAGTGATTTGGTCTTGGAAAACAATGGCCTTGAGCTTCTGGTAGCACATGGCGAGTATCTTGTTAAGTGTTTCGAATTTTTGTTTTGCTGAAAGATGAAGTTGATTGAGACGATTGAGCTTATTGGTACCGGGTGAGTTGGATGATCAGGGGTCAATAATAGAGTTGTAGATTATCGAAGAATTGGATTTTGGATTTGAAGTGTTGTAAGATGAAAGAGGAATGGCAGACGTGAAGAAGACCGATTAAGTAGCTAGAATTTTGCAACATCGTGGCATATCATTCACAATTACAGAACGGCCGTACTGTAAAGATTCACCAACGTTGTTCCAGAACAACACTGTATGAAATGAGAATGCAATAATAGTACAGGTGATTGCGAATCTAAATAGATCGAGTTCTGGTCACTCGTACTTCTTGTGAAAGAACAATCTAGCAAGTGCAGAGATAGTGAAATTGGATGGGTCAATATCCACTTCATGTTCACCCAAAAATACTTTCGCGAGTGAATTCTGGATGTGGCCTTCGGGATCTCATATCGTTCTTCATTCCACATTGAACTATGGATTTCAGGCACCAGATCAGGATAGAGGTCAGAATACAACCTTCATTTCATTCTATCACATTGTATTTAGTAGATGGTTCTAGTGTGCAAGATAGATCGCGTGTGACTGGTATGAGGTTATAAACGCACACGTATCATATAATGTCCATTCAGATAACAAAGAGCGAGTCAGAGAAGAATCATTGAGAAAGTCTTTACTGAAATGACTGTAGTTTAAAAGCCTCGATTCAAAGGTTTTGAGTGTTCACATAGAGCGGATAGTCATCAACACATAAGAAAGTGTACCTTAATTAACCTTATGACGCATTTTTAACTTTGCGTCATATGACTGGGCTTCAGTATTCTAGCGTAGAATCATGCAGGTCTCAAATCATTACTAGAAGTATTTACTACAAGGATTTTTGTGAATATTGAGCAGGAAATGATTATTAATATGAATTTACTCGGAAAATGAGTCGAAGATCTTAATTCCAAAAGTCGATATAGTTTTCGCTGTCGGCAGTTCTGAAGCAGAGCATACAACTTTTACAACGACAACAAAAATCAACTTCAGTTATCAAACTTTACAATGACTCTCGACACCATACTCAAAAACAAGATGCGAGCTCGATACATCTCCATGCTTTGGAAATGCTGCCGCTGCGAAGCAGCTCCTGAAGCCCTGCCAATTTATCTTTGCAATGCTCTCGGTGCAGAGAGTAAAGCCCTTTCAGGGGATTGGAGATATCCGGAATTGACTTGTGGCGATACATCGTGCGCTACATGCTACAGACCAAAAACAAAATGCTCAAATCCAGAATGTGGACACGGAAAATGCTACGGATGTCCTTCCCATGATGGCGATATCAATACAAGAAACTCTCGAGTATCACTTGAAATCATAGGAGGCGAACGATTCGCACTTACTTTCTCCATGGGCTATAATTGCCGGTGGCAATGCACTGAAAGCAGTTTCCCAAACTTCAACGTGCTCGAGGGCCCAGAGCCTTCAATTTGGGATCGTGATCGTGAAGATCCAGAGCCAACTGGACAGAAAATAACACGTATAATACCGCTACCCAAGGTTATTGCCAACCAGTATCTTCGAAGCGAGGAACGGCATACCGAAGACGAGACAAATCCACAGACTGACTTGAAGGATAAGTCTATGGCAGATCCGCAACTCCCCATATCTAGAGATAGCCCTATCTCATCAGACAGTGCCATCAAAGCCGCAAAAACAATTTTGAGACCAACAAAAACTTCACAGGAAAGTCCATCACAAGTCTCTAGGGGGACAGATATCATCAAAAATGTCAACAGCAGTCTAGATAATCTAGAATATATTAGTAAGCTCACTTATATCCCCATTAACAGCCGAAATCTTATAGTTGCAGGTGTCCAAATCTCGGGATCAGACAGCACACAGATCGCCAGCGATTTCGCCATAGCAGAATTGAGCAGTCAAACGACTGTATCAGATCATTCTAAATGTTCTGAAGTCCAAGGATCAGCATCTACATCCGTCACGAACACACCGGCCTCTATACCGGTTCCCAGTGCAGATATCCTCACGTTATCCTCCTCATCCCAGCCCATGGCTCTCGTGGAAACCGAATCTATTATCTCGGATGGACAAAGCCCGCAAAACCCAATAGTCCTTGCAGAAAATACATCTGAAATAGATCCTAGAATGAAAGAAGGTGCAACTTCAGTGGAAGAGAAAAGACCTTATTATATGAGTGGAATTGCCGGTCAGGCAGTAGGTCTTCAACGTCAGCTTTCAACCGCAGGACCTACTGAATTTGAATCCAGTGGAAAAAACTACTCATCATATTCGGGATCCACAAAGCTCGCATCAATTAGACCAGCTTCTACACGTACAAGAACTCCGACAAGAGCACTAAAGCTTCTAATGCGTAAGCATCGAAAACATCCGGCTTACAGCCCACCTCCAACTCCCCCACCTGATTCTCCAATTTCACCCCCGACCCCGCCTCCAGAAAATCAGCAAGTTCAGATAGTCGATCGGATTCTTAGTGAAAGATTACATAGGCCCTTCGGAAGCTTGCCAAATTCCCCATCGAGCAGATGGGTTTCACTATTTCAAGAAACTTCACCACAATCCGAGACGCCAAATTTGTCGGCTCCTGCGGTGATTCCACAGAAAAGACCACAATCCCCAGCGATCAGGCCCGCCAAGATTATACGTCGACAAAGAAAACTGTAGCTTTGTTTAAACGCATGTCGACGCCACATAATTACAGATCGAAGCATCAGAGACAACATAGCATAGGAATTCTATGAGGTGGGTTGATCTAGTGGGTATTTTGGACCCAGAAATTATTTCCTTTGTCTTTCCTTTCGCTTTCTTTAGTTTCCTTGAGTTTCATTTCTTTTTGGTTACCGTTTTGATGATTCAAGGGGGGTCTAATACTTTGAGTTGGGAGATACCGTAATGTGGATGACGGGGGGTATCGTGATATGACGGGCTTTCGGAAGGGTTGGTTGATATTTCGTTGTTTTTCTTAGTTTTAAAGTCCATAGATGACTGAAATTCTACTGCGAGTCAAATAGTTCCACTCATTCCATGGCACTGTGTGATGAGTCTCCCTCAACGGAGCTTAAAACATCCCGAAACCATTTTGTGCGACCGCATTACTTGGCTTGGGATTCTCTTTCCAATGTGCTAAATTTCTATCTTGCTTTCTATCAAGTGATTTACAAGGGCCTCGTATTAGTAAAGGGGTATCCAGATATGTTCACGAACTTCATACATCACGAAACAAAAAAGCGTATGATAGAGATATTGTTAGAACTGAACGACTACTTAACAGACTAAACGGCCATCCACAAAACCTAATTCATCCATGCATGATTCTCACTGCTACCTTAATCCAATATGCTAAAACGCTTCTCTTATGATATAGTATCCTCCAATTGTTCAAATTTTCCAATCAGATCGACTCTTGAAGGGCGTCAGCCACTGTAACTTCAGTCAGTCGGTTTCTAATGTAAACTGGATTTCAAACCTTTTGAAAAATACACACCTATATCACTTATCGAGTACTTCACCAATTCTTGAACCACCCCGTCTTCGTCTTTGTCCAAATAATAGTGGCGTAGTAGATCCTCGCTCGGTCCCTGTGAACTACAATACCGAATATAGCTCGTCAGGGGCACTCCGTACTCCTTTTTGCAATTCAATTTCTGAACAACCTTCTCCTTGCTGCAACGAATACATATTCTACCATCCGATAAAGCGCAACTATGATTGCAAACACGACAGTTAAATATATGTTTCTCTTCGCTCAAGGTTTCGTCATCTATCTTCGTCCAAAGACGAGGATTATGCTTACAGCACCCCATATAAGTTGCAATAATTCCATGATTTTTGTTCTCGATCAATTCCTTGACATACTTGTAATAATTGGGGGTCCGATTTTCTGGTACTAAAAGTACCCCATTGTGATGACTGAGTCGATCTGTTTGATTGGAGCCGTGAAGCAGTTCAAAGAGTTCAGTATACTCGCGGCAAGGATGAACAAAATCTATTTTGAAATCACTACTCGTGGTTGAATGATGAGGAAGATAGTCGGGCGAGTCTTCGGTAGGTCTCTGGATAACCGATGGACCCTCGGAATCGATGATGCATTCCAGTTTGTTCCCCGTACAGTCATTTGGGGAACTACACTTGTAAATGAGATGACTACGGACGGGCTCAGACAAACTCATGAACTCTCTGGCTTCTTTCCGTTCAACAGGCAAGCCATCATTACTTATAGCTTTTATGACCAGCACCAATGCTTTCACCGGTGTATTTTCAAGTGATGAAGGTATCGAAAAAGTCTCGTCAAAGAAAAGTTTCGTGTGAAGAGCGCTTTTTATGTCGGTGGATTGAACTTCGACCTTTGTGAGTGACGCGAAAGCAAGCTCAAGTAACTCTAATGCTGGTGAAATAACAGATATGGACGATTCACGGGGATCTGAAGGCTCAAAAAGCGAGACTAGATCTGGATGCTCGAGAATGTATCTTTCACCAAATGTACGTTCCACATATTCCTTGAATGTTCCGCGGACCTCTACTCCGTCTTCTAAACTTGATTGTGGGGTTTTGTGCCCGGAAGTGTCTTTGTCGAGGCTTGGAGAAGGCATCGATAGTTAAGCTTTTCGTTGTTGACAGCCGGGTTTCCTTGCTACGTTTTTGATGTATTCAAATATTAAATAGAGAAAAGAAAATTTGAGACCACAGGTCCTTTTGAGTCCGAAGGATCTCAATAATTTGTCACAGATTTCCGTGATTTGTGACTCTCAAGATGTGATGAATCATTTTAAAGTATTTCGCCGTTACTCATGGCAAATTATGAGTAGACAGAGTTTTAATGACTCTCCGATCACGCTTACTTTTACTAGAAAGAAGTTCTGAGCCCAGGGAGAAATCACAGAAGTTCAAATTGTCTGGTTAGTACTGATAATTTAGTACTCACACGCAGTGTAGGCAATAGTATTTCCCGTAATCCGTATACGGGTTAGATAGTAGTGCATATCGATTTTTCTTTGAAATATATATATATATAATATAGAATTCGATACTACTGAAAATATTAAAATAATATTGAATATTATTAATAAAATACAAAAATACAGATTTTGATTGATATAGAATAAACCGAAATATACAAATTTGAGGTTATCCTCAGATTTTATTAATATTATTGAATCTTTTGATCTTTTTGATACTATATAGAATTATTGAATTATTTAAAAAAAGGATTTATTGAATTAATTAATTGATTAAAATAAAATAAAAAGCTTTAATAAATTATATTTAATCAGTTATTATATTATATCTATCTAATAATCTTTTGATTATCTAGGCTTTATTAGAATTAGATCTTTGTATTTCAGTTTTTCTATATATCTTTATAGATATCTATTTTAAGTGATATTTATAATAATAAGTATTCAAATATTCAATACATACTATCTATTATATCAAAAGCTTTATATGCGCTATTGTTTTACTATAATATATTATTGCCTACACTGCTCATGCGAACACACTAATATCCAAAACAAATCACCCCATCAGCACGAACATGAAAGGCTTCCAGTGGTCAGGTCATCGTCTTGAAAGTGATCTTTGGACAGATATAAGAGTAATCTCTTCATCACCAAGAGACTTTGATTGTTACGAAGACGTGGAGGTCGATACGAGCTACAACAAAAGTAACATTCAAGCTCACTCTAGTTCGGTTGTCGGTCCGTGCCATTATTTCGCTATGATTATCTTCATTTGCACGGCAGAAGAATAGCCTTTTCTAAGAGTCATTTAATAGAAGACCAATGAATGGTAATTGGAGAAGAGAGTATTGAAATGTAAAGAAGAAGTGTGAATGCGTTCTATCCTCTTGATACACATGAATCCTTCTCAAAGTAAATATCGTGGGTTTATCTAATTCACTCCCGCAAAATCGTTCGTAAATTTGACTAAAATGAAAGAGATTCAAACAGTTGGTGGACCAGCACCAACGCAAAATATTCAGAAATTCTAACAACATTTGACCCTCAACAAGAAAAGCTAAGAATTATTTTCTTGACACCAGACCAAAAGGTTAGCTTGTCGCGGCTCTAACCTTACGCATCACATTCGACCCGATAATACTCTTCTTAATTTATAATGACCATAAACATCTACTAACTTCCGAAGCCAACATTAAATCATCAAGGACCTCATCTTCTCCACACTCTTCTTTTGGAAGTTCCGATAATTTTGTGCGCTTTGGGTCAAATTATCGATATCAAACGTGTCTGCTAGTTGTAGATCATTAGCGAATTTGCCAAAACCTCGACCGGAGGTATCTACAAGATGACCTTCACACTGCGGAAGGAGAGTGCCATTTTCAACCATCCAAATTTGTTTGTTAAAAGGACGAAGAATCACAGGTGCTGTATCTACACAAGTATTTTCAAAAGAATCACTGTGTCCTTGAAGTATCCTAGACTAGAAAAATTATAATTAAGGTAACTAGTGTGTGTTGAAATCAATTTTGCATTCTATCTCCACCTAGCATGAATCAACTATTCTCCATAGATACATACATTCCAACCTATCTAGTTCTTCATATCTCAATTACAGAAATGACGATTGTTCCCTATCCTCATCAGTCCCATATTGATTGCCCTCACATCAAGCCAGGACAAATTCTCAAACACTGTAGCAGCTCAGAAACAAGAACCCTTCCATACACCTGATCATGATCATCCACACCCACACTAACAATTATCTCATCATCCAGAAACCCCACGCCTTTATCCCTTAGATCCTCATCTTCCCTGTTCCAAGCATACGCTATAGTTGTGGTATAGGTGAGCTTTGCCCAAAAACCACGACCTTCGGACGAAGCCTCTGGAACGTCATCCCAACTTTCGTCGGTCGTCCAACCCGTAGTGGTTTCATTTGCGAAGAGAATTGGATGTTGACTCATGGCCAGCATACTAAAAGGAGGTGTTGCTGCCCACATCACAAAATATCTTTCGTAACGGATTGGTAGGTCCAACACGTTTTTGTGTTTACGATGAATGGCTGCAACAAAAACGGTATCCGGAGTCTCTGACATACAAGAGTTATTAGAACGAGTACAAAGAATCAGTCTTAAAGCAGGTGTGGCCTGATGCCAAGTAGCATTTGCCATGTATCTATTGAGAGCTATTTCCTCTGACGTTGCGTCGATAAGGCAAGATATCTCGTTTGGGTCAGTCAAATTAGTTGTGGTGAAGCCATTACCAATAAGTTTTGCAAAGGTGCGTTTTGAAGAAGTCAGCTCATAATGAACGTATGATGAGGATGGAGTTGGTGAAAATATAAACCAGTTCTTTTCGTATGATATTCGGGTCTCTCGCGGATTACGTGTCAACTCGGTCAGGACAGGATAAGATTTGAGTGGTCCTCCGAATCTCTTGGGTGGTGATGAGAAGATTTCTTCCAGGTCGGGGTATACAGAACGAAGATCAATAGACCATAGTCCGATGCAAGCATATCGCGACCTGGAAGTCATTTAGTGAAGAGTATTTTGGAAGAAAGAAAGAGAATCATACTGAGAAGATACCATAAGTATAGGCTCCCCTCTTCCGGAATAGAAGATCCTAGGATCATGAAAGCCAGGTATATCGGCCAGTCCTTCCTGATTCCCCTGGCAACTTTCTGCTGGGGTTGGAGGAACAGTCACCTCAATAGGCGTATTTTCGCATCTCATCCCTCCATTACTACCGAGAGCTTCAATATCATCAGCTGTGCAGATTCTATCTTGGAGGTGTCCACGATTTTCAGTTTCTGGGTGACAAATATTTGCTTCACACAAAACATTGACTCGGTAGCCACGGTCCTTTAAGTACACCATGCTCACGATCAAATACTGATTCTTTGCCCAATATGGCAGAGAGAAAATTGTTGGGTTCCAGAACGTTCTTGACTCGGGGGACCCAAGCCTGGGTCTCATGGAAATATTGTAAAGTAGATTAGGAAGTCTAAGATGGTTCGTGAATTTGTTAACCGGGTCGGAGCAATGCGCAGTGAGTTGTAATAAAGCATGCGGGACAGTAACTTTCGGAGTCGGGAGCTTTTTTATATTCCCGCTACCTGAATAGGCCCATGATTGAATCGTATTTTTTGAATAATTTCTCAGTGGATGAGATATTGGAATTCGCAATGGGGTATTGTGTTTCTCGTGGTCATAAACTTGGTGTCTATATCGGGAAGGCGAGAGGTTCGAGATGATAATAGCAGCCCAGAAAAGAATTGCAAGTGGCAAAATGAGTCTTCTCGCGAATTTTCTTGCCATTGCTTACGAATTGCAAAGTAGGAAGAGAAACGATTAAAATGAGTAAACTGTAGCTCACAACTGGCAAATTCCAGTATTTCGCGCCGATCGAAACAATAAAACAGAAGATAAGGAATCAAACCAGACATTAAATTACTTGAACTTACTTTTATTTGCTTGGTAATATTGAGGTTGACCGTGATTGCGGAATATGAAAAGTGCAAGTCAGAGGAAAGAAGCCACGAAAATCTCTGGAAACGCTCCTGCCACCTTTGACGTTTTGCTATATTCTGAAATCTGTCGTTATAGTATCGTTGAGCATGAACACAATCTCTACATTTTGATCACTGTAAATTTCTTTGCCCTTTGCTTTGCTCCAATCTTGCTCTTTTGCTCAGTTTTGATCGATTTTGACCGATTTTTTGCTCATAATGGTTTACATCTCCCCTCTATCAACTCCAACCGCGACTTCAACTGCAACAAGTGAGACACCTCTTCGACCACCGACTAATAATACGACACCATGGTCAGAGATTTTAATGGAGAATTGGCGGAACGGAGTGGATTTCAGACGCCCGCCACCAGCTTATGACGAAGAGGAGCAGTCGGAACCACCTCACCAATTTTACAAAGCCAACTTGGAGCACCTCTACAAGGCTATATGGCTCACCGTATTAATAATGATTTGTTTCTGGTTTTGGTTGAGCCAACAACAGCAGCGAATACATTTCTATCAATATGACACAAAGATTTCTACAGCAGAGCCACCACTAGAAGGACTTCGCTTCATTGACGCCAGCCATCCCTACATACGTGTATGTCATCAAATCGATTTACAGAACGAATTCTAACATAAAACAGTATGTAGGTCGTTGGTCTTCGACATTGGATGGGACGAGAAAAGATGGGTCATTTCCCGGTATACTCTCTCGCTGATTCATCTGTGATTTTCTAACGGAGTTTTTCTCAGGCATTTATCTCGATGTCGCTTTCAACGGAAGTAGCACTATCTTAATATCACTTCATAACAAAGATCAAAAAGGTCATGCTAAGAGGACAGATGCTCGAAATAAAACAACAGCGTCTGGATTTCCACCATTATTAGACAATACAAGCGCGGAACCTATCTCTCTGCTTGCCCAAGTTGATGATGAAGAATACGTTATACTTCCAAACGCAACATCACTTGTGGCTATACGAACGAAAGATCTCGATCCCCAATCACCTCACATTATTCGAATCATTGCACCAATGATCGGCAGGGATATGATAGAGACCTTTCAATTTCTAGGGGTCTGGATAGATGAGAATGGACAACTGATTCCAGTTCATAATCCAATGTCGACCACAAATCTACCATTTTCTGAAAGAGATGTAGAGAATGAGGAATTAGGACTATATATAGATGCTGTGGACGATGGATTACCCGAAAATCCTTCTCAGCGAAAGATGTTGGAGATTTTGACTGATCTACCCGGTTCTATGACAGGCCTAGACAGAAGAAAGCACCGGATAGCATCTAATGTCGCAAATGGAATATTGGGAGGAGTTATGGGGTGGGAATGCTTGACTGGTGAGATGTTTGGTAGTGATCATGTAACTGTTGGAATGGATGGGATGTGCCTACTACAAGACTGTATCGGTGGTAGGGGCAGTCCAGCAGGATTGGCAGACGTTTTCTTCCAAAGGTACGTCTGCAGGTCTTCTTGAGTTCTTTGGTTGTCCGGTTTTATGTTAGACCCTCTAATGCTTACAGTGGACCACTTGGCTCTGGGCAATACGCGCAACCATGGCTCTTCCAATCCTATGTCCCGGATGTAATGGTAACTGCTTCAATTTCCACTTCAAAGATAAGCAGCTAACATGTTCAGATTCTCAATATCGGCAATGCTGACTGGGAGTCGTTCCGAGTACACAATGAAGATTACAATATGACGACATGGGAACTAAGTGTGCTTTTCGAGGAAACCTACGTTTCATTAATCAGAGCAATCAGAACATTGGCATATCCCAAGTACTCCGGGACAGTGGCCGAAGTTTCACAATATGATTATCCACAACATCGAGCAGTTGATATCCCGATATTCGTAATGAGACCTTTCCGCGGACAACTTGAACAAGCGACGCACTCAGTAGTGGATCGATTACAATTCGAGGGGGACAAGTCAATTTTCTGGCTTGATACTTCAGGCTGGCTTAATACCGATATTGATTTTGAGGGACGATCAGAAGATCAAGACTTTTTCCTCGATGGTAAGGACAACTTCCGTTGTCTAAGTGAACTCCATTACTTTAAGTCGCTGCTAACAATGAACAGAGGAAAGTCCACGAAAAGAATGGCGCCTCACGGAGAAGGGAAACCAACGAGTTGCGATCTTGCTACATATGCATGTCTGCAGATATCTTGCACAAGAAGACGATAAATGTGCTTTTTTAGCACCAGAGGCATATCAAGGTGGCAACTTGGATCCAGTTGCGATGCATTTCGATGAATACATGAGAGATGAGAAAGAGAGAAGGCTGAAAAAGCTATTCTGGGTATCCCCAGAGGATGAAGGAAAACTCCAAGTCAAATGAGCGCAAGGATGAAGATATGAAAAATGAAGAGCTTTGAAAATTATCATCGATACCTAATCTCTATCTCGTAATTAGTTTTGCAATTAATATATTTACCATTCATTGGAGTATTGGTGTGTTACATTTATGTCGAAATTTGAAGTGACGTAGAATTTGAGCTTGAGGTTTTGATGAAGAAGGTTGTACTGTTCACAACCAGCGATCTATCCCTATCGTTTTAGGCCAATATTGGAGTGATTAATAGAGCATAAATATGAAAAAAACCCTCCATTACCGTGTCATATGAGAGCAAGCATCGAAGTCGTTCCACAGATTAAAGATTACATGCCCAAACATAACTCTCATTTCAGCGAGGGTGAAATAAAATGCTCTCGTGCAACCACAATCGAAACAGACTTACTTTCCTATCATTTGAATCTCAAGATAAATTTCATGCCACCAGAACTGAAAGGATGTTATGGGCAGAGACTTCATGTATTTTAAGTCAGTCTGGCCGAGTGTTAGGTATGTCATTTAGCGGCCACGTTGTTAGGGATAAATATGGAGGGTGCGACTTTAGTGGATTGACATATAATCCAGATCCATAGTATTCATAATTCTACACCCCTTCCACGCCTACAAGAATGATTCTTTCAACGCAAGCGAGCTTTGAGTTTGACCTTTTCGGAAAGATTTCGAGAAGCCGAAATTTATTCACAGGACTGGGATCGGCGATTTTGTCAAAAAGCGTTAAAGCTTCTGATGTAGACCTGGATCCAGGCCAGGAAAACCCTAAAGGGCCAGAGATTAAAGTTTGCATGCTTTGAAAAGCATCGTGGCCTCTTGTATTGCCCATTTAGGACTGGTCAAGCTGCAAACCAAAGGGGGCATTTTTCGCGTAATTAGTCCTCGTAGATCCACGACTCTTATCTCCTCTCAATCGAAGCTATTCCATTTTCATTGTGATTATCTAAAGTTCTTTAGCGGCTTACAGTACTAAATATAGCGGATCGGCGTCTGCTTCAAAAGCTTAAATTTAGTGTCAGACTAACAACTGACAAATTGACGACCAAGAAACTTGTGACAGATTGCACTATGTTTGACTTGGCGTGTTACTTGATTTGATAGTTTGTATGCGCTAGAGTTACAAATACTACATAGATTACTAATATTTTTCTTGAAAATAACGTCACTTCTCCCTTCGTAGGAAGATTGGATCATCATCGTCGTCACTGGAAGTATTTTTTTGGACCAGATTTAGTATGCCTTGTTCGAGGAAGCATGAATGAAAATGTATAGGGTATAAAGAAGCGATTGGTTCTATGAAAATTGGGTTGTGATTAGGTAGATCCGGATAAATGATGCAGCAAGGTTGAAAGCGCCGACGGCTAAACAACATTGAGGGCCACTAAATAGGTTATGGGAAGTGAAGACCATGATTTTTGCATATGAGTATGACCTAAAATGGTGACGAGCAGCGACTTATACATCTTCATCACTAAGACCTGCCGAAAAGGACGGAGTAAATGTTAGTAAAAGTTGGCAGATCCCAAGATTTATCATGACACTGTCGTCGCCGAAGTTATACTAAATCTAGTGTTTTCTCACAGACTACCTAGATAATGGTGATTTGCCGAGAAGAATACAGTACATATTAGTAAAGATTGGCAGACATCAAGGTTTATCACGACATTGTCGTCGCAGAATCATACCAGATCTGTTCCTTTCTCATAGACTAGATGGTAATGATCAACCACCCATAGAACTTAGGTTCGATGATCAAAGTCTATCAGTGACTTGTATTTACCTACCTAGGTAGTATGTAAACAATCCAGATTTGGAAGTTTCGCATGTAACTCGGGGAAACTGTTACTCATGGTTTGTTGGGATGGGTATGCTGATGGCATATCATGATATCGTGATGTCAAGATTAAAGGCAATAGAAAGTTGAGCATTGAGTGAGAAAAAGAGCTAGGGAGTGTAAACTTTCCGATTATATGACTTTTAACCTATTCGTCTTCCCAGAGTTTTATGGACACGTGGTCTGATTATGTGGTAATGTCTGGCTACATCTTACATACATTATGTGCTCGAGACGTAGCTAGATAATGGAGATTATTGATTCTGAGCCATCTGACGTTCTCATCTATGTTAATGTGTTGATATATCTCAACATCCTGTTTGAACAGTATGCAATGTGATTGGGTGAACTGACTAAGTGAGTGACCTCGCTACTCCTTTTTTTCTTTGCACCCTAGGTATCATCGCAAAGGGTTAAACTTGAATTTTGAAATCAAATTGATATGTTTTGAAGCCTCTAGGCAAGTGAAAAACTTAGTCCAAGACATTAAGTTGATCTTCATGATATGACCGTCCTTTTTTCAAGCTGTTGCTATAGTAGCATTTGAAGTCACCACAGTCTAGGATGTATCCAACATGTATTCAAGCCGAGTGACCTACGATTAACATGATCGTCAACTTGGAATTCTCAAAACATGTAATTCCCTCAAACAACGAATCTAGACTCAGACTGAACTTTAGATGCATCTGTAGTGCATATCGAGCTGCTCTCGTTACCCTGGCTACAGACAAACAGAAACTCTGCTTTGATTCATGGCAATCGTCATGGACTGTAACCATGTTGGTTCTGCTTGATATTATATAAGCCCTAGTCAATCGATTGCCTATATAAGTGTTAACTGTTCCCATTGTATTTACTCTATTCAGTACAAACTGGTTCTTCATCTCTCTTGTCCATCTTGTCTTTTCGCTCCCACCTCACACAGCTATCAATCAAACTCAGATACAGGTAATTCTCAAGTTCCATCACTCACTTCCTCCCCATGAAGCTGACCTTTGTGATTCATTTCTTCTTTAGATCAAATCGCTCTCGAGTCTGAACCATGGTTTCATTCAGCAAAGTATTCGCTGCCGCTGTAGGCCTCAGCGCATCAACCGCTCTTGCCGGCAGCACAATCCCCCGCGATGCCCCTCGCAACACAATTCAATTCTTGTCTTTCGACAAGGAGGACAGAGTCATCACCTTTACATCCCACCCTCAGTGTGAGAATCTTGCGGACATTCACCACAAAGGTGGAGAGAACTTCACTATTGAAATTCCTCTCAACTGGGGAGGTACCGTTATCGCTAGAAAGTATGATGCTGTGCACCCTATCCACCGTGTTCAAGCCGAATTTCAATGGCAAGGGTTTGAAGGCAAGACCCACTACGATGCCAGTGCGATCGACAACCGTACCGATAATTCTGGTATCCGTTTCGTTTACCCAGCCGGTCAAGCCGATGTCTACGAGTTACGAAGTGGATGCACCGTTTATCCTTGCGATAATGCTTATCTTCTGCCTGACGACGTGCAAACCAAGGTCACCCGCCAAACTGATATGGTTATTGAGATTGGTACCCAATACTAGAGGTAAGTTCCCAGCTGATTCTCATCGCATATGCCCCTCACTAATATAATTTACTGTAGGCTTCCGATCGAATAACTGATGGCGTTCGAAGGCGTTTTCGTCTCGGCTTGCCTTCTGTCTCGGCATCCTTTGATCGCCGTTTTCGGTAACTCGTAATCATACTGCCATTTAGGGCGACTCGTTTAGTGTCAATGGGCAAGAGTCTGGGGGTTTTAGGAGCTCGAGGGTATATCCTGAGATCTGATCCAAACGAAAGTCGGTTGTGGTCTTGGAATTTATTGGGTTGTCTCGTGGTTAATTTCGAATATGTATGGTTATTAAATGTGCTGCCGAGTAAAGATGCACAAGTAGAAGAAATTACATCACATCAAAACAAACATAGGAAATGATGAATCGTGAAAAAATTAGTCATAATGTGTGAACCAAGAACTAGCAAGCCCACACACTCAAAATCTCATCTAGAGGAACAGGAAATTTCGTTTGTTCATGATAGTGTAGGCAATAGTATTTCCCGTAATCCGTATACGGGTTAGATAGTGGTGCGTATCGATTTTTCTTCGAAATATATACATACATGGTATGGAATTCGATATCACTGAAAATACTCAATATTAGAATAATATTGAATACTATTAATAAGATATGGAAATACAGATTTTGATTGATACAGAATAAGCCGAAATATACGAATTTGAGGTTATCCTCAGATTTTATTAATATTATCGAATATTTTAATCTTTTTGATACTATATAGAATTATTGAATTATTAAAAAAAAGGGTTTATTAAATTAATTGATTAATTGAAATAAAAGGAAAAGCTTTAATAAACTATACTTAATTAGCTACTATACTATATCCACCTAATAATCTTTTGATTATCTAAATTTTATTAGGATTAGATCTTTATATTTCAATTTTCTCATATATCTTTATAGATATCCGTTTTAAATGATATCTACAACAATGAGTATTCAAATATCCAATATGTACTATCTACCGTATCAAAAGCTTCATATGCGCCACCTTTTTACTATAGTATACTATTGCCTACACTGGTTCATGATGGCCCACCAGAGTATACGGTCAAGAAGAACATTCATACCCTAGCCAATCTTACCTTCTGGATGCTGTCGTCCACAACGCAAAGGGTCCACGAAATGATCACAAGTGGGATACAAAAGCTGTCAGTACTTCGACCTCTCCTGAGAACCATAATGGTGTAGTTCTCATTTGTCGAAGCACAAAGCCCGGTGAAAGGCGGGCTGCAAGAAGTTTCCATGCGAATTTGCCTAAAGACATCCCGAGGATGATGAAACCACAATTTAGACTGAGGATATCACTATGGTTGTTGAAATTTATCCACTGCTTTGGAAAACCGTCACTTCTTCATCAATGTCCAGAAGTTTGTTACTAAGTGATCATAGAAAGTCATCGGTACCCCTCGAAGCATGTTCTCAATCCAGTCACTGCTGCACTCGATGCTGGATCCAAAAAATACCAGCTAGCTTCTGCGACGTTGTGGTCTTGGCTTTGCTTCAGCAATGATTCAAAGACTCGCACTACCCGTACTGCATGCCAAAGTTCGCAATGTTTGGATATCGCTCGCAGCCCAGTACACCTAAGAAAATTCACATATACTTAACACCTATCCAAGTTTGTATTGCCTACCTTAAGTCTTGATTTTACCATGATCTTGATCAACCTCATATGTTTGCTACCTTCCTCGCGGTCAAATAGATCCATCATGGGTATACCGTCCACACGCCAACACTACGTTGGCCGGAGGCGTCTTTACTTCCACGAGTTCCGTATCGGCTCTGGATTCTTCGATTCGACAACACTAACAATGTTGGGGGATATTAGAGAAATCATAAATGCTTTCCCCTCCTGTCGATGTCTCTTCTCATTGCCTCCCCCCCTGCCTCATATCTTCTGGCGTTTAATGTTCTTGAAATCAAGATGGTTGAAGATGTATGTAAAAGATATATTATCATGTACTTTTAAGAGATGGAATAATAGGTTATGCAAAATATTGGCTGGAAACTGGAGTGGAATCGTTTCTACAAATACCTAGGTACTTGACAGAACAGACATTGAAGGTTCGGAATAATTCCCCTCCTTTTACCGATATCAATCATCAGCCAGAAATGGCAAGTACATCCATATAGTTTCCGAGATTCTTCCGGTCCATAATTTTGGAGATTGGTGAGTAATGAGGATTTACACTGGAGAAATCAACAGTTAAACCTCGATTTGATGTTAGATTTTGAATTGGGCATACGGGTTTTCGACGTTTCTGACAGTCGTGAGATAGGTCATATCAGAGCTTTCAACTCTGCTAAGCCTGCCGTGGTTGAATTGACTATTGTAATACATTCTTTCCACTTATCCATATCTTCCAACGTTCATGTATCAATTAGATAGCGTTCCACTACTACAGACACTAATGATAATCTTGACAAAGTGGAGTTAATGACTGGTTGTTGCTCGCCGATGTGCAAGCTTTATCTACTCCACCAGAGCTGTTCTGGATCAACTTAAGTTTCTGATACGTTATGAACTCGATATCTTAGATAGCCTCTTTCTCTATTGATAAGCAGAAGCTGAATGTGATTTCAGTGCTTTTAACACACATTTTGATTTACTTAATAGAAAAAAAGAAATGCTTATATTATATATATAAAGCACGGAGGGAGTTGATTAATGGAAGCTGCAGGTGGAGGTACACGCACCAACTTCGGCTTGGTTTCAAGAGGCTGGAGTGTGGCTGAAATGACCAAGGTGGCTAGTCATTATTGATGTAAGCGAGTTGGGGTGAGAAATTGGAGAAACTGGACTGGTGATGATGTAGTTGCGGCTAGAGCTTCCCTCGGCTTTCTTATGACAAAATTTGCTTCTGTTCTCTTCTGCTGGGAATACTACAAAAAACCAGTCGATTCATTCATTCATTGACTTTAAAGGCGATATTATAATTCGATGATATAGATTTAAAGACTCAATTTCATTTAATCATTTCCATTATTCTTGATGTCAAGTTACCTACCTATCCTCCATCCTCCATCCTCCAAATAGCAGTTCGTTCTAGACCTTGGCTCATAACCTGAGCACGCGACCTCCTATAGACCCCTCAACCAACAAGATTGATAATAATCAAACCACTATTGTGTTATCCTCGAATACATCAACACGATAGCCATTTGAGACATCAATCATCATGAAAAGGGCGAGATTTCCCAGCGGGATGGAGCGTCGAAAGTCCTCCACTCCTCACTACCACACCTTCCCCACTCCACCACCCAAGTCTCGCGGCAGACCTCAAGTCGCATCAACTTTATCATCTGGTGGCGATGGATCTGCGAATTCGAATTTGAATGAAGGGGAGCCGGAAGATGAACAACATCAATCTCCTCTTCCAATAAAACAACTCGCTGTATTGGCAGTCATCGCGCTCGCCGAACAAACGGCCTTGAATTCGATATCTCCATACCTACCCCAAATGACGTCGAAATTTCCAGAAGTCGATCCAAGTCAAATAGGTTTATACGTCGGAACAATAGCGTCGAGTTTTGCGTTCGCGCAATTTACAACGAATTTTTTCTGGGGCTGGTTATCTGATAGGATAGGGAGGAAGCCGGTGGTAATGCTTGGGACTCTTTTGACATCAGCATGCTTTGTTGCTTTTGGATTCTGCAGGACATTATGGCAGGCAGTACTGGTACAAGCGCTCATGGGTATGGTCAACGGAAATCAGGGTGTAATAAGTACATGTTTGGGAGAGATTACGGATCGCAGTAATCAGAGTAAGGCATTTGTCTATCTGCCAGTCATTTATGGAATTGGTGGCATAACAGGACCGGCCTTGGGTGGATTGTTAATCTTCGAAGAAAATCCGTTCAACAAGGGGCATCCAAATCCTTATCCATATTTACTGCCGAATTTGTTTGCGGCATCAATATTATTACTCGACTTGGTATTGACGGGATTTTTCCTGGAAGAAAGTCTAGAAGAGGCAAAAAATCTCCCTCCTTTGAAGCATCGAATGAAGAGCCTCTTTACGTGGATGTGGCAATTCACAGGAGGAGCTCGACATCCAACCTATACAAGAACTCCCTCTCAACGTGCACTGCTTCATGACTCTGATGCATCGGACGACGACGATTCTGAAGCTGAATCCCTCCTCTCAATGGGCGACTTCTTCCATTCATCGAACGAAGCTCACTTGTCCTACAAGGAAGTCCTAAACCGCGATACTGTAATACTTCTTGGTACTTATCTTATTTTTCAACTCTCCAATATTTCCTTCAACTCTCTCTATCCTATCTTCGCATCGGCTCCCGAGCGTGCTGGACGAGCGCTCTCTCCTTCCGAAATCGGTCTTTCACTCTCTTTTGCAGGAATAGTTACAATTGTCTTCCAGATCGGCATTTTTGGTAAACTCAAAGAAAAGATGGGAAATAAAGCTACTTATAGATCAGGATTGTTCCTCTTCTTCATTTCCATGATGCTCATGCCATGGATTGGATACAAAGATTCTCCTCCACCTTTCGGCATCGGAAATGGAAAATTATGGCTATGGGTTGAGCTTGGATTCGTCTTGTTATTGAAAACTGTAGCTGCAGTGGGAGGACTAACAAGTGCTCTGTTACTCATTACAAATTCTGCGCCTAATCATGGTGTTCTTGGTACATTGAACGGCCTAGCACAAACCCTAAGTGCAGCGGGAAGAGCAGCGGGCCCCTTCTTGAGTGGTGGGCTATTTACTTTGGGAACGAAGATTAAGAATGGGGGATTCCTCACCTGGGGTGTTTTTAGTGGGATTGCTTTGGTAGGCTTCGTGTTCAGCTGGGGAATCCGGGGAAAAGATTTGGAGAGCGAAGACTGGAGTGATGATAGTAGTGATGATGAGAGCGACAGTGGAAGTGGAGGGGATTTGGAGGCTGGGCAATCATCGTGATGAGCTTGAGAGGTTGATAGATCAGATTCTCGGTATTATATTGTAACAAATACTTTATATTTTTGAGTTGTTCGTGTTGATGGGAATAGGATGTACGTTTTTCATTTTGGTATAGGGCATTCATTGGGCGGTAAAGGAGTTCGGGCGCATAGAGAGAAAAAGGAAGGATAGCGAGATTAGACTTTTACATGGAGAGGCAGAACATACATGAGTAGCATGCGTATACATATTGTGGATTTAGAAGCTTTTGTAGGTAGCTAATACAATTTATCTCGACAAGCATTTCCATGATCATACTATCAACTTGGAAGTTTCGTGCACGTGCCAATTTATCCAATATCAAAAACATCCACCTTACATCCGACCCATTTCACAAAACGTGATATTGAAATTAATTCGAATTTTACCAAATACCATGGAGTTCTCTTAAAATCCTGTTCCATCATGTCTTTCTTCACCCTCCTCATCTCTATTCTTACTTTTCTTCTTTCTATAGCTCTCCTCTATCTCCATCCGAAATGGTGGGGGAACGGGCTCGAGCGAGTGCGTTTCAGACGGATTCCGATCAATGCGCTATCAATATCAAGTCTCCCCTCGAACTTCTCCATGCTACCAACTCCAGTACTCAAAACATCTCTTTCAAGACCCATTTCTACAATGTCTTTTTTCCTGAATCATTTAAAATCACACACCATAGTTACCTTGCCCGTTCCTGAGAAGAAATTCACAGGGAAAACTATTATCGTTACTGGGAGTAATAGTGGATTGGGATTGGAGGCGGCGAGGTGGTTTGTATGTATTTGTTTTAATCTCTATAAAGACTGATATGTATGTGGATTGTATGAATATTAACAAAATAAAAGGTCCGTCTCGATGCTCAAAAAGTCATCCTCGCCGTGCGCTCCCTCTCAAAAGGTGAAGCTGCACGCCAATCCATCATAGACAGTACCTCCTGCTCTCCAGACATCCTCGAAGTATGGAATCTCGATCTGTGTTCTCAATCTTCTGTCAAAGAATTTGCGCATCGAGCAAATGCGCTTCCGAGACTTGATATCTTGGTCTCGAACGCTGGAATCTATGTTTTCGATTTTAAAATCGTAGAGAGAAATGAAGAGACGATTTGTGTAAATGTAGTTAACACTTTCTTATTAGCGTTGCTTTTGTTGTCAAAATTGAGGGAGACGAGTATAGAATTTGATACGAGAGGGGTAATGACGTTCACGGGAAGTTTCGTACATCATCTGACTACGTTCCCGGAACGGCGAGCAGGGAATGTGTTTGAAGAGTTGAGGGTGGAAGAAAGAGCTGATATGAGAGATCGATATAATGTGAGTAAACTGATCTCTCTGCTTTTTTCCCGAGAACTCGCGTTTGCTCTTCGCGAATCGGAGACGCAGGGGAGGAGTGGACATGTGGTTGTGAATATTGTTAATCCAGGGTTGGTGGATACGGAGATTATGAGGCATGCGACAGGAGCTACAAAGCATTTGGTTAGGGGGGCGATGAAATTGATGGCGAGGAGTGTGGAGGAGGGGAGCAGGACGTTGGTGCATGGTGCTGGGGGAGAGGAGGAAACAAATGGGATGTATTTGGATGATTGTAAAATTGGGAAGTCAGGACCCCTTCTGTCTAGGTGTTTTTGTTTATTTGTCTGAGACTAATGAGAAATCAGGGTATCATCTTGGACAACATCACTCGATGGGATAGCGACCCAAAAGGATATTTGGATGGAGTTATCGCAGGAGTTGGAAAAGATAGAACCGGGGATTATGGGAAATATATGAATGGGGATTAGAGTTAAAATTTGTACTAGTTTTTACTCTTGTCTTTCGTACCAATGCGTTGAGATTTTGGGCATTAGATGACCCTGCCTGGCGAGGTTGCCTCTTCTTTAACGAGCAAGTTTTGATATTTCGCGAGCTTTTCTCAGATATGCAACAAAACTCCTGAAGAGCGATTTGATTGGTCAATGAGAATCAGACAATATTGAGCAGGTTCCGCTCGCTCATCAATGATGCTATTCTCAAAGTTCACAAACTTAAAAGTGGGGCATAGCAAATGGAAAACAGATGGCTGTACCTCCTTCAACATTAGATATCACCAGACCAAGATCATTTCGAAACTTCCTGATGGGTTGAATTCGCTTGGAAATAATGAAAGTCGCTGGTTCGTTATATACAAAGATCCTCTCGTACGCCACACCTAGTTACAAACCTGTCTTTCCGTCCTGGGTCTTTCCATTCATTCAATTATACGAAGAACCATCGGGTTCGCCCTCAAAGCCAATTTCACATCATCGTCCAGCCCAAGACTATCATCCCGCTCTTCCCAACATAAACACAAAAGTTCAACAGGGCAAAACCACCATACTCCCTCTTTTCCTCTCAAACCCTTGAATCTCTGGGCTCGTAGTCCCCCACTTCATACACGTCGATCCCGTCGCCGGCATCTCCTTCGGCTGTAAAAGAGAACCCTCCATCTCAAGCATCTCATGATGCCCACCCAATCCCATTTCCCCCGGCGAATCCTCCACCATCAATTCCGTCGTCTCGTGATATCTACCTTGTGGCAACTCTGCAATCCCAAGATGTGTATCATTTGGTTTTCGTTCTGGTTTTTTTGGAGGTCTAAAGAAATAGCCTTGTCGTCTATATCTTCGCAAAATTAGTCCGCAGGGTATGCATACGACGGCTGTTACTATTAGAATTACTATTCGAGTGATGTGGGTAGATGAAGCCGAGGGTGCTGTATTTGTATTTATGTTTGTACTTGCAGACGACCTGGTAGGTGTACTAGTTGCAGTACCGGTAGGCGTTGTGATTGTCATTAACTTCGTTGTTGATCCATAGTTTATTCCAATGACTGTTGGAGATGCATCATCATCTTGTGCTGTTTCAATCTTCAGTCAGTGACAGACTTCACAATATTTTTCAGATCATGAAGAACAAGCAACTTACCAAAAACGCGAGAAAATAGCCATATCAGCCCCAGTAAACGTGATATCATATTCTCGAAATGAAGGAGGGCTTAAATCAATCCAAGAACAAGAAAAGAGGCGGAAAAGCTTAAGTTCATGAACTGAGGGGGTGCAGTGCTACTGGGGTGCCTTGCTGCGCCTTGCCGTGCCGTAGGTACATATTTCTGTAGCATTTTCTGCAGCTCTTGCTTCAAACATTGTGGTAAGTGATTCTAACAGGGGAAATCAATTGGGGAATTGACTAGCTGCAATGGTTGTGGGCCTAGACCTGCCAATCATCGAAGCAGCAATTTTACCAACTTCGGTGTCAATATTGCCCGTCAGGTTGGGGTCGCTGAATTGGAAAGCATTTGGACAGCCATTTAGGTGGCTAAGTTGATTTCAAGATTTCTTTCCTACTTTGCTGCTCTCCAATGTTTCATTCGCTCGGCTCTTGATGCGATGGCTTTCTTAGTTGCATATATCGTCTTCCTCGCTTCCAATTCGCGAAATACTTGTCAGCCTAGCTCATGCACGTCGTTCCACAGACTTGGCATCTCTAGTTTAATATTTGTTTGACGTCTGCTGTTCCAATAATTGAAGATATAGGCGGTCTTTAATGGATGTATACTCACTGTCCCTTTGGCAGACTGAAGTGACGGAAGCAAAATGTTATAAGAGTTATGGGTTAGCTAATCGGAGTCTGGGTACAATTCAGAAATGATTTGTACACGCTTGGTGGAGTATTTGATGACTCAGAGCAATCTGTGTGTTCCATGTTCGAGGGAAAAATCACTAAAGAGAGCGATATGATTGTACGTATTTGAAAATCTTCCAAGCGACAAGCAGCTCGAGGGGTATAGGTCGACTTGATATATTGCTAAACAACGTTTGTCATGGATCTCGAGATGGATGGAATTGGCAATGAAATTGAGTAACAAACTGATGGTTGCGGCAAAGACATACACGCTTTGCTATGATGTAGGATTGAAAAAGACGGTTATTTTAATCCATGGCAGATATCAAGATTTCAATCTTTTCATGGCTGGAAACATTGGGAAATATATCGTAGTAATAATCATGCTTACCATGAATGCTTAGGGCTGCTAAAATTCCAGCCAGAAGATTTGAGCTCATGTTGACGATTTTGTTAAACAATGTAATTAGATGCTTTTGAAACCTTTGAATCCCATCAAGTGAAGCCTTGGTTTCAAGATATTTTGAGACGATGCTCACTGAACCCACAATTCTTACTTGAGAGGATATGATGATTGCTTCTGCCGTGGCGCCTATTGCCCACGCTGAACTAAAGGTACAATGATGTTGTTCTTGTCCTAGAGCTCAATGCTCTATTAAAGGTAAAATCCGGAGCCAAGAATATTGGAGGCGGCGTTATCCATAAATAGCCTGCCATCTAACAAAATAAGAACTGTGAAAAGTATCCCATAGATATTGAACACTACGAGGGAAAAAAAAGTAAGCAAGATGAAACGTTGTGAGAAAAATGGTACGCGTTTATCTTATTGAAAAGACCTTGAGGCTTTTTGAATACTTTGGTCGGGCAACGCCGTCCCTTTGCATCACTCAGCTCGAGCTAGACGCATTATCACAGGACTAGGAACACGCTATCCGAGGTCTTATGTAGGAAGCAGTACAAAGGCTATGCCGGTCAAAGAAGATTTAATCAAACTTATGACATAAATTGGCTTTTTAACTCCTGTTTTATGTTCTTTGATTAACCTTCCCTTGAATTTAACAGATCGGCACTCACTGAATCCATTCGATTTGGAGGTATGTATTAAGGGATATTCACGAATCGTGGTAATATCTTCCTGTGTCTTTGACGATTTTAATCGTAACACCCGTTCGACCCTTCTCTTCGTAGTGAGTTCTAATGACTCAAGGTTATTTTCTGAGTTGTCTTTCAAAGTGGCTCAGAGGCTGATGAAACACGTGATACAAATGCATACACCCGATTTCATAACGTATATCTAAAAGAAAAAGCACTTTTTCAATATTATCTAATCGAAATTCCGAAAACTGAAAAATTCAATTTAATCAATATAGCTTCAAATTGAAAAAACTCTATGTTATAATATAGATTTCAATTTAAAGAATTGATAAATAAAATCTGAATGATTTTGATTAAAAATTAATTGAATTAAAGATAGTTAAATGAAATTATGATTTTTGATATAATTTTTAGGCTTTTGAATTTTCGAAAATTGAATTTTCATTTAATCACTTTTAATTCAATCAATTTCTAATCAAAACTATTTAGATTTTATTTATCAATTCTTTTAATTAAAATCTATATTATAATATAAAGTTCTTTCAATTTAAAACTATATTGATCGAATTAAAAGCAATTGAATTATTTTTACATAGGATTTAGTAAAAAGTTGATTAGATTAAAAAAAGTCACGTTTTGAACACACTATGAAATCGGGTATAAGGTTACTCGCCCTCGAGTCGCCACAGTTACCTAAAACATGTGTGCTCGATCAAACTCACTTCATTGGACGTCAACACATAGCTTTAGTCGATCATGCATATATACATTATATACATATATGTATATCCAGGTCATTGAGAGAGAGGCCAAAAGACCTATTGTCCCCATCCTTAAATCTACTTCTTCGCTGGCCTCACCATCCAGATGAACCCTTCTCCTTTTCGATCACCGAACCTTTCTGGTATTTTTGTTTCGCAATGTTTAACATATTCGAATCCCTCGGATTCATATAGTGGTCGACCAGCTACAGATGCTTCTACTATGGCCTAAATTAAACTCACGTTAGCTACAGTTATCAATAAGAGCGGGGTCCAGTCGATGCTCAGATCGACAGATTCTACATACCGCATATCCAAGTTCATCAGCGATTGCAGTTCCCCATTTGACTAAAAGACGACCTGCTCCCCGACGATGATAAGCGGGGTCAACAGCAAGGATATCCAATGCTATAATCATGGGTCAGCGAAAACACAAACAGCAACTCAAGACTCTTACAAACTAAATGGCCCTCATATTCTTTGATGGCTGCCCGACGAGTGATCAGGAAGTCTCGGTTCAAATGCTGAGCCCACTCCTTCTCCTCCGCAGTTTCCCAAAAATCGCCATCTAAATCTTTTTCGGGTGGAATCACACCTTTCCAAATATTCCATTTGGCTTTTGCAATTATAGTGCCTGTGTCTGTATCCACGACTTTGAGAAATTTCGTGTGGGGGTCGTTATTTTTGATATCCCGGAATCGGTTTCCACCACTGATTCGACCAGCCTCAGTATCATGATTTGGATAAACTGCCTCAATCATGGGGTGTCTAGTTCCGAACGCCTGGCAAAAGATTTCAAAAACCCGATGCATATCATCATCATTACATTCCTCAACTTTGAGAACCATTGTGACGCTATGGGGTGTTTCTATTGAGTCTGATTCGGAAAATATTTGGTTGACTTGCGTACGTTTCCTCTCAGGTTTCGACTCATATATGCCAAGATTGATAAGATGACAAAGCGTATCAAGAGTGGAGAGGTGTATTACTCCGTAGTCCACCGGCTATACATAGGAGAAAAAACAGGCCGGAATTGACTACTACGCAATGGTACGTGCACCCTCACCAAAACAACGCGTAGAGAGCATTGGTCAATTCCGGCCTGTTTTTTCTCCTACGTATAGACCGGATATCGGAATCGGATATAACCTTTAATACGGGCTTACTTACGCACATGCATATGCATGGAGATTTATCCCCACCATGACAGCGATAGAATGTTTAACCGAGCAAACCACCTCACGTTCTTAGCCCTTTTGCTGTCACTATGAAATTGACATCAATACGTCTGCTTTGGTCCGTTAGTGCGTTACTTTTTGGCTTCCATTGGTCTCTCTGTCTTTGCGGCCTTTCTCTGGGTTCGTCAGGGAAAGCCTTGGTGATTCTCTACCAAGCAGACGATGAGGGATGACATCCCCAAATTCTGAATACCCAAATCCATGTGATCTTACACAAATTGCGCATCGCGAGCTACTTGCGGATCTCGAGACTCCTCAAATGCGATGAAAGTATCATCTATTGGGACACTAGATCATTCCGTAAAGACATTCGCGTCTTTACTTTGAGGAAAGCAGAGGTGAGATGATAAGCGTTGCTCAATTCTTCTGTTGAGAGCCTCACTTTTTGCAAGCAATCCTTCGTTAATATCCTGAGATAAAAGTAGTTTTACTCAGTCGTTTTCTCCAGTGATTGGTTCTTGCTTGATAACGATAAACCAGATAGTGGTGAATGCTCGCAGTTTTCGTTGACTTAAAGCCGCATTCACAATCAACAAGTTGAATGAGTGAATTGTGAAAAAGTAGGTAGCCGCTCACATTTTCTTTTTTTCTTCTTCGATCTATCAGTATATAACCTTTCTAACAAATCCACACTTTCCTTTTTGTCAAACATGTTGCATATCAGAGATGTCAATATGCCTCGCAAGTATATCGTTTTACCAGCAGCATTAACAATACTTCTCCTTTTACTTACAGGGATGTTCATTGACATAGGTAAAGAAGAGAGCTTTCTGTTCGACTTCCCCATCATTTCCCTTGATACTACTAAGTTGAAAGATAATATCTTTCAGAGCAATAACTACAGTCTACCCATCACCGATGTATTGAATCTATATTTTCGAACTCACTGTGAAGGAAATTATGTTTCTACACGTAATATAAGCCCCAGGTTGAAGAATGTATCCTGCTCAAAACCTTCATCTGATGGTATGTTCCATTCGTCTACAAATACGAACGGATGAAGTAAAAATTTTAACATGTTGAAGTCAAATTTCTTCCCGCCAACATTATCCATCTCCAACTCATCAGACCCAACTCTTCGGTCCAAATTCAACTTCCAGACAACAACTTTGGGCATCAACTCGGCCAAATCCAGAATGCGTTCAAAAAATCGTATCATGCGGAACTTCATGCGGCACTCGCCATATATGCTACTGCAATCTGCCTAGAAGGCATTTTGTTAATCATAGCTTTTATATCGTTCCTGGGATTTGATGTTGCTTGGATTTTCGGAGGTTTCTCTGTCGTATGTTTTGTGTCTTCTCGTTTTCCTCAACTTGAATCACCAATCTTGAGCCAGAATTCACATTATACTGCATTGTTGAACACAGAGAGTTAACGCTAACAGATGAAATAGTTAACGGCAACCTTCATCTTAGTTGGAAACAGCATAACCACGGCCCTTCAATACCAAGCGGTTACGACTATCAATAAATTTGGTGAAGATGTCGGGATTCTGGGGTATCGCGGAACAGGTTTGCTGGTATTAATTTGGTTTACTTTTGGAGTAGCTTCTGTTGCCTCAACTGCTTGGGGATGGGGTGCGTGGATGATCAGAAGGCCCGATAACAGTAGTGAGACTCCGGATGATGGTGGTGTGTACATGAATTGCAACAGAGACCCAGCGGAAGTTAGAATGGGTGAACCGGTGATGCTGGCTATGACAGGAGGGAGAGCTGTGAATGTATGTGAGGAAGGAACACGCGTGGAGCATGAGATTGACTATGTTAGAGAGAGCCAGATTGGGCTTGCTCTATAAGTTGGGGATTTGAAATTTAATGGGAGACATATACACATCTTATCCGGGCCGTATCTCGATAGAAGTCAGAGATGAGTAAGGAAGCCTCATGCTAAAATAGTTGCGAAGCATTATCGTTCATGTCGTTCAGAGAAGATATATAATACACGCATATCTCTTAAGTGCCAAAAATGGCTTGATTTTGATCTTGGCACGCTCTTCATTCTGATTTGAAACCTTCACTCTGCTCGGCGTCAAAAAGAATGATCATTAAATGTTGCGTCAAGGCCTCACTTTACTCTTACTTCCATATCACCCAATCAGTTTATCGATGCAGATATGTACCTAGCTCATCATGTATCTTTAACCTCAAATTTATCAAACAGCGACCTCAAAAATAAACGCAACAGTAAATTTTCAAAGTAAATCTCAATTTCCAAGAACCCTCATATAACTCTATCTGTTAATTATGCAACAACCCCCTTGACACTCAATTCAAGAGCTGTACTCCTAGCAATGCGCAATATGAAGAAGTCCAGGTTTCAGTGATTCATTAGAGATGACTCGTCATCGCTCTCCAACCGTCAACTCGTTACCATAAAGCAATTCTACTTGATGTAGGGAGACATCACGGTTTCAAGATGTTCTATGAAAAGAGAATATCATAGGGTAATCTTTCGAGAGTGCCCGGGCAGTCAACTTATGCTTTGTAATCCTTGTAAGCAACTCGAATGAATCACTCTCTCCTAACGCCTGAAGTCTAAGCTCCTCTAACCCTGCATCTTTGTAGGAAGATTCATAGCATACCATGATACGCCTATCAAGATAACCTCTCTCTCTTAACCAAAACTACTCACCATTTATCTGGTTTGAAAGAAGCTCCTATAGAATCTCATCTATGCTACTTTCAACAGACAGTGAGTGTGGCAGCGACGCTCATTGCAATCTGGACACAGCAGATATGCCATCGCTGACATAGAAAATAGAACTTCAAACAACGCAAGGGTAGAGAATCCAAGCATCAACCAAGACCTATGCACTGGGATACACACCTCATCAGTGCACCGAAACCGACCTCCAAGGCCTACCAAGGCGGATACAAAAACGGCGTTCGTAACTATAAGTATGAGAGCTTGAAACGATGCCTAAATATTTGAATTAGTATATGTTTTAGAGAGGATAAAGAAATATCTACACACCATCTCCATGTACAATCTCACATCTGAGTCAGAGTCCACTTTGTTGGAAGGCCTACTACTTTCCAAAGTATCAAGGCCTACCCAGAAAACTGTGGCACCAAATATACAACCGAGAATGTAAAGAACAAAAAGCACGGTGATGTTCGTGTACAGGCTTCCGTCAAGATAAGAATCTATAAATGTCAGTAGAGTATGAGCTTCAGTAAACACAGAAACTTACCGAGCCATTCGAGATGCTCCAAAACACTCCTCGGCAAATCTTCTCCAAAATCTTTTAGGATCATCATTCCTCCCTCTATATAGATGATCAGTATGTATATTTGCACAACAACTGTTCCGAGACTTACCATAGTCTAAGCAAATCTTCTCAATTACAAGATTCTGACTGTCCGTAGTATGATAATTGCTTTTACAGACACGTGCAAAATAAAAGTCATACCGATCATAAGCGGATATTGGAGAGCCCGCAAATAGATTTAGATCTCTCGTATCTAATGATACAATTGGCTTAATCTTGAATCCCAGAAAGATTATAAGTATAATAGTGATATTGGCCAAGATGGATGGTATCCCAACCAATGTTGAATTTCTTTGACACCGGGGCTGGGGTCTCATTGTGACAGTATGCTTTCGTTTTGTTGGGGTTGGCTTTAATTTTCGATGGTGTAGAATTCTTGATTCATGAACGCTCACTCATAAAGTTTTCTTTTTTGTTGAATCGAATTACTTTCGCTAATCTAAATCTAGGTTCTGAATAATCCACCATGTGATCGATTTCCGGGTCTACCGCAGAGTACCTGATAGTTTTACCGTACTGGGCCGGAATGGCTGATGCCTATAATAGATTACTTTTATGATGTATTAATCTAGACAGCGAGCTTAGAGCTAGCTCTCCTGAACATCTCAGACCGTATCAACCGTATCCCGCGGTATTTTCAATTGTCTTTCTAGATCCTAAAAGAATAGTCGATTCGGAACGCCAAAACCTTCTTTATCATCCAGTACATCATGTGAACATCATACGACATACAACGTACAGTTCAAAGGTCCCAGGGAAAGTCTAGACTTCTCGTCTAGCCTCTCAATAAGCTAGCATAGAAGCGACTAGTTGGTGTAACATCTGGACTGATTGTGAAGTCTGATCGTTTAGTTATTCAACACCTATCTATATTTTATACTATATAATAACAGTGTATTAGATGCATAGGATACATTAAATGATATCGAATTGGAATATACTTGCCATTCACAAACTTGACACTTAATCTTTCCTTAGAAGCGAGCCGGGCCAACCTCTAGTGAATAGGTACTCAAATGCTTGTCCATCCCACACTCGGTGGGAATAGAGCTTCTGTAACTTCTCATACAAGATCACAATACATCCTTGAAAATGAGTGAAGTGAAAAACTCCCACGCTCAAAATGAAAGAAAATCTCACATCTTCTCATCAATTTAGTCTGACATCCCGTCCGAAACTGAAATTCAAGTCGAGCAAACCCTCTGATAATAACATGACAAATAAAGTCCTTGACTCTATTATCTGTAAAACCAATACAAGTATCGAAACCCCCACTAGAATCCAACTCGCGTGTACCGGAATACAAATCTCAGGAGTGCATTCCAAGCCGTGAATAGCGCGTGCTGAATCCCACACAAAGAAGATTTCATTCACCGTGAGTAACACGAACTCGACGATGGCGTAGTTACCAATATTAGAATAAGTTCTAGAAAGGAAGTAAGAGTAGTCCTATATAAGTCATTACGTAGAATCCTTGCGGAGACTAGCTGTCCCTTAATAGGGTTGGATACCTGAAAAATTCTAGAGAAGAGGAGAGAAATCAATTCCCCAAAATAAGTTGAAGAGGAGAGTGACGTTGTTAATGAGTAGTTCAAAGAAATCGCCTATGAAAAATAGTAAGATAGAAAAGGTGAAGAATTTCGACGCCTTACCAAGCTTGAGAATATGTTTCAAAGTGTTTTCTGAAGCCCCGCGACTGAAGCGGAGGAAGATTTTTCCCCAGATACAGTGTATGGCTGGGAAAAACTGTCAGCATCTTTTCTTGACTACTCGTTATTGCTATTTACGCTTTACTTACCAAACCATTGACAAAGCTCATTGGATGATTGATTGTCAAATCCCGCAATACGTTCATTTCTTCCGCAAATCTTCATGAAGTATATCGTAATGGTCATAGACATTCTCTGGTGATCCTCCAGCTATCTTCAGATCCCGCATATCTAATGATAGAATCGGAATAAAGTTGCATCCTAGTATGACAATGATAATTAAAAGCAGTATAGTCATAGCCCTTGAAACGATGACTCACGTATAGGTTTGTTTACACCGAGGTGTATCTCTCAGCATGATAATATGCTTTTGACGTTGGTAGAGGAGTGAAGCCTGAGGGCTCCAGTATGCTTTACTTTTACACGGGTATTTGATGCAAATTAACTCCAATTATCGTGGTAAAGGTCGAGGGTGATGCGAAGGGTGAAATATGCTTTAATGGCTAGATGATGTTGTTTGAATAATTCCGGATTCCTAAACCGAACGTAAAGGATAATATGCTATATTGATACCGATGCATTGGTTGCAAGCGCGAAGTATCCCATACCTTTACATTGATTCGGCATCGATCCTATTACCTGAATGGAAAGAGTTGCCGTGTGTTGACTGCCACATATACAATTTATTTAAAACCATCAGCCGATATTCTCCTTACCTCAACTTGTCAAAATACAGCAATTCAAATCATACACGAAACCGAAAACCAGTTATTGTAGCTCAATAAGATTATCGTTACTTGCACATCTATAAAACAAATCAAAAGTGATGTTTAGAGGTAGTGCATCTGCCGTTCTTATCCTCAGCCAAATTTCCTCAAAAATCCGTCAACATACTCTCATTATCTTCAAGTAACCTTCTAGACGAAGCTTCCTGCGGAAGGATTAATTTTTAACACCTACTTCTAAGTGAGAGACCTTCAAAATAGCGGCGAGTAGAAAACAGGAGATGTAAGACCGAATAAAGGCAGTGAATCTCGCTTGGAGATACAGGACTTTAACTAGGTACCTACCTATTCCTACTATCCAGCCCCCTTTCCTTTCCTTCCAACTCTAATAAGATTCAATCGAGAAAGGAATTGTATGTATTATTCATAACAGAGATGTCGATGTACTCTTCAGTGTTAGTAAAAATGGGTAAAAGAGAAAACACTCCTTTGACAGCGCATGCCAAGTTTACATTTCGAAGGTGATGATGGAATCGCATGATGATGTATTTGTTTAGTGATGATATTATGACTATTTTGTGGTGGAGGTTCAAGTCTTGACAACTCTATAAATAGATTAGTGAATACACTATTCACAATGAAGAAGTAATGTGTGAAAGTCCTTATGTGAATACTGTTTCAACATCACATGAAAACATAAGACATGAATATGAATCAAAGCCGATGGAAAAACAACGAGTTTATTAAATCCCCCAACATCTCGAACGCTCTCAAGCATAAAGAGTCTCAAATTAGACTATTCTCAAAATGTTTAAATACACTGCTCATTGTCGTTCACTATAAAATCCCAAAGCCAAAAACTCCAACTAAATCCTACGAAATATCCGCCCAACTCCTAACCTGAGATTAATATCAAAACCAGGTATTTTACATTGCTTTACTAACTCTATAATCATAAACTTCAGCCTGGGCCACGTCCGTATCCTGCATGCATTTGAGGTGGAGGTCCTGGAGGTCCCCGTGCGTATTCAACTCGAAGTGGAGGTGGGGGTGGAGGTGGAGGTGGGTGCCCTCGAGGTTTCCATATATATGCATCTAGAGGCGGCACTCTTCTCATTCCAGGAGGCATTGGCATTCGCATCGAGGCCGGGTCCCCTCTCGAAATAGGCCCGAGGTGATCTTGCCTAATATTGTGGACCGGGATCTGTAATCGTTCAGCCTCATCATCAGGTCCAGATTGAATTGAATCCCCGTCATCTAGAGAATATCGACGTGTATCCTCACCGTTTCTTGGAGTATCCGAAAACGCTTGGATCGCTCTCTCATTCTTAAGTGTCCCCACAATCAGGATCTCCCTACTCACGAGACTGAAGAGCACAGCCGTGAACCCCAATCCAATAATGCTAGTGCCGACTTTAACAGTAATATTGTCATTGCTAATGGACTGGATTTGGCACTTGTAATCAAGCAAGATCCATGGACAGGCTATTGCAGCCGCAAGCAAAGTAAAGAAGGATATCTAGTTACACTATGTAAGAACACCGCTTTTGAGATGGGTATAGGGAGAAAGAAGAGAATACATACAAAAGCCATAGTATTCTCGATTTTAGGGTGATATAGATCATTCAAATGGACTTTTAGGCCGAACAAGCCATGGGCGAGATGGGCGAGGCCACTCAGAAAAAACAAGGCGAAGATGATTTTGAGATTTGGAAGTCCTGCGGGAATATTTAGTGACACAACAATGTAGAATATTGATGATTTATTTCGAAAATGGGTATTACCAGAAATTGGAGTATCTTCCGAAACAACTGCGGGTAGTCCACCATTTGCTGATCGAAAGTGTTAGCAATTTTCTGCCCAGACTTGATCGGGGTTTCAATCCACCAAGGCTATAGCATCCGTCGTTTTTGCCGTTAACTATCGATCTGCAACCTTCAAAATAATATATCAAATATAGATCATACTCATCGTCAGGAGCATGTAACTCTAGGAGAGGGGTTTTCAGTACTCCTGCAATGAGAATAATTATTGCGAACGTCACAACCAAAACGACGAGAAATATTTGAAAGTACTTTGGATGTGTCTTGACCTTATCCGTGAACTTCCTATGAATATCCATGGTGGTAAATATTAGATAGATGGTTTGTTTGCTTGTCGTCGTATTTTATTCTCGAGGTTTGGGTGTCCTGTGTTGTAATAGTTGAGAAGTTAACAAGTTAGAAATGGACTTCTTTGACTTTTGTATGGCCAAGTGTAGAATCCAGGAGTCATAATACATTTGGTCTTGACTTCGATGAGTAATAGTCAGTCACTTGAAGTTGACTTTACCAACTCTGACTCTTTACTACATGCGATTCACTGGAAACACACGAGCATGTGCCGCTCAAAGATGGATAAAGTCATAATTTCATATCTTCTCAACCATTATTTGGAATAATGCTGACTACCATGGCCATTCATCAACTTCTCTTACTCATTCCGCACGGCCAACACTGCAGGAGCCCATCTCACCAGAGTAAGGACATTTATTGTGAATGCATATTCCTTACTGTAAGGTCGAAAAATGGTGATGATGGAGGTTATGACGCCTGCGAAGCTGGGGACAGAGTATGGATCATTTTCATCATTATAATTATTAACGGATGTGATTTGGTATCCATGGATGTGGTGTCCTATGTAGGAAAACTTCATTTCAAACTCTTCAATATAATTCGAATTAAAGGTATATACCACGGTGCTTGCTATTGTGAAAACCACTCGTCGAGCCCCAGAATCACAGTACTACTGGAGTAAGTTCTGCCAATTCAGAAAAAAAAATCACACAGCTTGAGATAAAGTACCAAGGAAACCAAAGATCAGGAGAAAAGCAAATCTCAAGCGAGAACTATTTTAAGAACGATGAATCAAAAACGCCACCTCAATTCCTCAATATTCTCCCTGCATAAGCCACTGAGACAACAGCACAAAAGCAAAAAGATAAAGATAGGAAGGGGCCAGATAAACCATTTCAAACCCTCAATCCGCATAAAATCACCCCTAGGGTTTGCGATCTTTCATCATCATCTCTCGAAGATGTTCTTCAATTTCCTGTCGGGAGCACACGGTGTACCATGGAAATTTCTATTTCTATGCATCTCAGCGTTGATTATGATTCATTACATGCTGGTGGATATTCAGCTTAATGATGAGGCCATACCGGAGACACCAAAAGTAGTTGAAGGAGCAGCTATAATTCCAAATCCGACGCCCCCGAAACATGCAGGTTCTGCAGGAACTTTCGATGAATTCAAGGCAATGCTCGGTATCTTTAGTGGAACGGAAACATCGAATTCAGAAGATGCGAGCCTCTCAGAGGATACAACGAGTTTAGAAACCTTGGGACCCGGTCATAGGTTGAAGAAACCATTCCTCGGATCTAAGCAAGACACTCGAGATGATGAATATGTCTCTGTGTGCATGGCGGTCAAAGATCAGCAAAACGACTTACCCGAATTCTTCACTCACCATTACTATCATCTTGGAATAAAAAGATTTTACATCATGGACGATGGTTCTGATCCACCTCTTTCGGAAATGGAGGATTTGGGCATACCTCGAGAGCATGTAACATTCCAGTACTTCAATAAAACAGAACATACCCGCTACATGCAAGAACACGTCTACAAACTTTGTGTCGAAAAGTACCGGAGCAATCACACTTGGATGGCTTTCATAGACGCCGACGAATATCTGGAGATGACTGGAAAAGAAAATTTGAACGAGTTTCTAGAATCTTATGAGGAAGACGAACACGTCGGTGCAGTATATGTGTCTTGGATGACACATTCCTCTGCTGGCCTACTAAGCAGACCCAAGTCTGTGCGCCAGACCTACATTGATTGTATATGGGACGGAGAAGGACATAATGTGCAAGGTAAAACCATTGCCAAATTGTCACTTTATGATGGTCCAAACACCGTCCATCAGGTCCGATGTAAAGACGGAGCGATAGTTGTTGATGAAAACGGGATCAAGGCACCTGTAAGACGATATTCGCCCACGAGAAATCGAATAGCACTGCATCATTATGCGCTGAAGAGTCGAGAGGAATATCAAGAGAAAGTTGATCGAGGGAATGCTATGAGTGATCCGAAAAATTGGGGATTTTGGGATAGCGTTGAAGGTATGGCAGGTATAGAATGTCTTTCCATGACAGAATATTATCCATGAAGAAAGCATTGTCCAGGATGAGCTTTGGAAGCATTCGAAATGTGTATTGGTAATTTGAGATCGACACAAAACTTGTACTTAATACAGATCCGTATTTCCCAATTTAAAGTGCGTCCATCGTATTTGGTTGATCTCCTTGTCCAATGGTGTTGTATTAGGTTGGTTGATGGTAGTCCTAAGTCATTAATCGGGTGCCAGATGGAATTCCATGATCTTCATTCACTCCTCTGATATGATCTGTTAAGTGTGTTCGAATTCTCTCAATACAGACTGGTGAGGACAAATTCCACAAGTAGATCAGACCGTGTATTGCTATTGCCTGTATCAGAACAATATCCCGGAGACTTGGACTTCCTGATGGAGCAGTCTCTCACACAACAAAGCGTCGAGTCTAGAACAGGCGATGGGATTTTCCGGGCATGAAAAGTCTCAATGATAGAGATACTCCATTCCATCTTTGCATCGTGAAAGTTCAACTCTCTGAAGGCTGCTTCAAGAATCTCTGATTTCTGGGTCTTGATGAACAGTGTAGTAGTCACCTTGAATGCATCCGAGAATTATATCCACCTAGTACATACCTATATACGGTAGACACCTCCAAGAAGTTGCACTGAGCACATGGAACGAGGAGACGAGCCATCCAGTATTCCGTAGACCGACTGGTAGGTAGGTAGTTATTGCCAATCGGCCATTCTTCTTTTGGTCGATATCGACACATTGCGCAGAATCACGGTTCGCATGATGATGAAGCTGTGGACAGTTTGTGATGCAGATCTTGAGCACATTTCATGAGTTTCCAATGCCGCTCTTGTGTGCTTCAGCTGTCTAGGAATAAGCTTTGAGGTCAAAAGAGGTGGAAGTTGGTACGGGATGAGATAAGAAATGATTTAAAGTTTTAAAAGCGGCAGTAAATTGAGTGAGTTTTGGTAACTTTTAAACTTAATTTAGTTAGTCTGAGCGTGTTTGAGCACTTTATTTACCCACCTTGGCACCTTTTCAACACCACCTTCTGAACTGGTTCAAACAACGATGAATAATAATTTGAGCAAGATAGAGCAAAAAGAGGAAAGAAGAGTAAAAAAGAGGTAGGGAAACCAGGTAAAGATGCAAAGAGCCACGAAATCTTCTCAATTGCGGGCCATGATTCTTTTGGAATAGCTAGGTAACCTTTGAAGGTTTTGATATTGATATCTCTCAATACGTGCTCAATGATTAGGTATATTTGACACTCACTTGAATATTCACTTCAAACGACAGCCTCAGTATCAAACTCAACCCAACCTTGACGACCGTACTCACTCAAAGCAACTTGCTTCTTCCTCATCTTCATCTGATCTCCAGATACCCTTCAAACTGAACATACTGAAACCTTCGCAACGACGTCGCCTATTCGGAATATATCCCTAGGTAGTACTAGGTATTCAGAGCCTCATACCTTTCTCCCCCGGATTTTCATGCAAAGGAATCTAGAAACAGACACTTCCAACTGCCTCAGATCCACTTGTTTGCAAATATCTACCTCATAACTTCTCATCGTTCTTACCTCAACTATATTAAAGAGTTTCTGTCCTCTCTTCCTGAACATCATCATTCAATCAACTCAAGTTACTACTACCGTAATCCATTAATACTTATTTGCACGAAACGATCCGCCGGCGGTTCATACAACATCACTACAAATACCCATACATTTATTTTCCCAAGAAAACTTCTAATATCACCCAATCAAACTCTCCATCAACTTTCAGCCAAAATGGATATGTCAACTTCAGACATGGACATGTCCACCATGTCCACCACCATGTCCAACACAACCACAATGGACATGTCCATGATGTCAATGACCTTCTTCATCTCCAAAACTACCGCCCTCTACTCCACCATGTGGACTCCAACAACCGACGCCGGCTATGCAGGAACCTGTATCTTTCTCGTTCTCCTCGCTACCCTGTTCCGCGGACTTCTCGCCGTCAAAGCCTGGAAAGAAAGCGCATGGCTTGCAGAAGAAACCAATCGTCGCTACGTTACCGTTGCTGGAAAGGGCCCCAAATCCGAGCGTATCAGCATAGACAGCGACTCGAAGAATATGACACTTAGTGAGAATGGTGTTGAGGAGAATGTAATGGTTGTTAAGACACGTACCATGGGTGTTAGACCATGGAGATTGACTGTCGACCCTGTGAGAGCGGTTATGGATACTATTATTGCTGGTGTTGGATGGTTACTGTAAGTTTTCTTCTCGCAATCTATTTGATTTGTATTGAATATGGACTAATTGAGAAATAGCATGCTCGCAATTATGACTATGAATCTCGGATATTTCCTATCTGTCTTGGGCGGTACATTCCTTGGAAGTTTGGCATTAGGTCGTTATGTCATTGCGTTTGAGCACTAGACATATCAAATAATAAACAAACAACCTATAGATGTACTGCGGCAGGCAAGCAGCTTTATGGGATTTAATTTAATGATTATGATCATGAGATAAGGATGGATGGTTGGAGAGGAGTTTAGGATGACAAAGCGCACATCATTTCAAATAGAGAAATGGGTGGTGTTTTGACTTAAGGGGAGGAATTTGGGTATTATGACTCGTTAATGAAGCATGATTGTTAAATTACCTGATACGATCGATTACGATGTGATAATTCTTTGTCTGGATTTGGGATTTTGGAAAGGGGAGTTGGGGATTAAAAAGATGGCATAAATAATGCTTATTAGCATGAGCATGAGCATGAGCATCAGCATGGAAGGGGTACGATATGATGACCAAGAAGACGAGAGCTGTTATAAATTCATATAGATTACATCTATCAGAAAGAAGAAAGAAGAAAACCCACTTGAAAATAAGCTCTATTCCCATCTCGCGGCGATCACAAACATGATGTCCTCACAATGCACCCCCATCAAACCCAACCTACTATCTGAAAAACGCATTCAATCTCCAAAGAACTAACCTCCCATTCTGATTTCTATATCTGTAGTAAAATCATTTCATGTTATGTTATGTTATATTATATCATATCATTTAATTTCATCACACCACAATACTGAATAGTTTCTGCGAATACCCGTCATAGCTGCAGGATGTACGACCAACCTCGTCTTACAAACTCCTGTTGTGGATATGTGCTGCTTGGAGTTTGTGTTGTGTTGCGGTTTTTGTGGGTGTGGTTGGATGGATGGGGAGGGAGGGAGGGAGGGGAGGGAGAGGGAGAGGGAGAGGGAGAGGGAGAGAAGGAGGATGAGGATGAGGGGAGGGAGAGCCTGGATTCTGGGTAAGGAGTCGTGGATGTATGTTGTGTATGTGGATGTGGATGTGGATGTTTCTGTGGATAGCTGGGTGTATAGAAGGGTGTATAGGAGGAGGAGGAGGTGGAGATGGAGATGGAGATGGAGATGGACATGTTGTGTCATTATGTATATAATTTGTTATATATAATGATACGAGGTATGGAGAGTTGATATGTCGGGTAGGTATGAAGGCGACGCGCATATGGAAATTGGGGGGTGAGGAAGGGAGGAGGAGATGGGGTATTTGGGGTGAAGGTGTGAAGGTGTGAAGGTGTGAATGATCGGATAGGTGGTGTAACGGGTTTGGAAATGAGAGATAGAAGACAGAAGATAGAAGTAGATAATAGTATTACCTAGATAGTTATGAGGTATCATCAATATCAGAGATTGTAATAATATATATAAATGAATATGTACCTATAGATAATCATCCATCCACACCCAAGAATGCGTTAAATTTGAGTCCTCGCAAATAGACATCGTATCTTCATGAATTCTCAATCCATTTTCTCATTTCCGTCGATTCTGATTTCTCTTGGGAGTCTATCGTAGAGTTCTTGGAATTTCCTGCGGATTTTATGTATAGATAGGTACAGATACAGATACAGATATAGATACAATCTAGTCCATTCCATTCCAAATCCAGTAACCTCACATCACACCAAACCAAATCCCTCGCCTACAAACTTCAACTTCGCAATACCTACTAGATAACCAATCTAACATCCAACAACCCATTTCCTCATTCCCAATCATGGACACTACACGTTTGACTATTGTATTTATTAAACATGTTATCCCAACCTTCCAAGGTTATTTCGATCACGCCACCAATTCAAACCACCAATGATTACCTACTAGGTATCTATTTCGACCTCTATCCCTACCTCGCACACTAGCACACCTCTACCTCCAACACCTCAAACCCTTTAAGAAAGAAAATTTCCCCACTCAGGTCACGGTAGATGATATGAAACAGAACATGTTCCACTTCACGAGATGATTCTGTCGTGTGAATAAGATATGATATGATATGATACCTATGATAAGATATGGGATCCCAAGAATATCATGCTCATATTATCTCTGTTTTGCTCTCATCCTCATGCTTTATTCTCTCCTATCTTGCAAGCAGCGAGCTTGGTATGATTTTGATGGGGCAGAAGCTAGGGTATGTGTGGTGTTGTGGTGATGTTTGATCGTGGCATAGTTTTATGCTGTATTTTGAGGGGGGTGGAGAGAGAAGAGGGGGGATGGGGGGATGGAGAGAGAGAAGAGAGCATGTTTGTTGAATGTGCTCATTTTCTCGGATGAGTGGGACGAGGTGCTTTGGAGGGTGTGAGAGAGAATTGTCGGTTATATTGCTATTGGGGACTTTGGTGGTGAGGATAAATATAATAGAATATGTTGTGTCTATTTTGTAGCAATATCGTCTTATATCATTTAATCGTATCTTGAATTTTAATCCAGCAACACCTACCTAATTACCGCTCACTCTTCTCTTTCTATCAACAATGTACACCACTACCCCCTTCTCCGCGCTGGTCGCCTTCTCCCTCCCCCTCCTAAGCATCGCTCATTTTCTCCTCTCCTACCCCGCCTCCCGCGGTTTTAACGAAGACACACTGTCCCAATTTCCGTGCGGAGGACAAGATACTGTATCTAGCAATCGCACCCTCTGGCCTCTATCTAGCGGTTCCATTGCTCTAGACATGGAAGATGCGTCTGCAAATATCGAGGTGCTTATTGGATTTGGTAACCATGTGGGAAGTGCATTTAATACCGTTTTACGACAAACTTTTGCCGAGACGGGGACGGGAAGGTTTTGTATGGAGGGGTTGGTGGTGGATGGGGTGGGGTGGAATGTGACGGAGGGGATGAATGCTACGATTCAGGTCGTGACTGGGGAGGCGGGGACGAGTGGGGGGTTGTACAATGTGAGTTTGATAGGTTTCTATGGAGGTTGTGATGAGAGATATGGGGGAGATGGGATGAGTTGCTAATGAATCTTCATTACAGTGTGCGGATATTACTTTCTCGAAAAATGTATCGCTGTCTGTGGGAAGTTGTTCGAATGCAACGGATGTGCAGACTACTGCAGCGACAGTTGCAGGAAATCCGAATACTACGTCGACTTCGACAGAGTCTAGTTCTGGGGCAGCCGCATTTGGAGGAAATTATAGATCGGTGGGATTGGTGGCTGCTGGTGTTGTGATTGCTTCGATGTGGTGATGTTGATAAACTATTTCATAGCATGTGTAACCTAGTGTACACTACTAGGTACCTAGTATTTAAAGTAATAGAGTATTTTTGCTGGCAGATGTCTTCATTACTGACGGTTAAGAGAGGACAAAGATTTCCCTCCCAAAAATGATAGATAATTAGGAGAAGCCAAGATATCCTTTTGATAGGTGTCGTGTAAAACATTGTATGAAACTATACCAAAACATCACTGAAGTCTTGGAATCGGAATACTTCTTTACACACGGAATAATCTTTTGCCTACACTTGATGGCTGTATTGCATTGTTCACTTGGATGTACAATAAAGAGAGGCCTTTAGAGGTTCTTTTTGTGCCTCTTAATGACGTATCTCTATCCTATTGTCGATCCAACCCAGAGATCTACTCACATGTAGTGATGAATTCACACTTCCTTCTATCGTATGGTAGTATCCAAACAACCGAACACGTTAATAACATCCCCTCCTTAACCTCGCCCCTCTCCCCTCTCTCCTCTCCCCTCACCAAGTGATCGGAGGCATAATATGAAACCATGCGTATATCGGAATGCGACATGAGACAAACAAACCGACCTCGGTCCCAAGTTTCCTGTTACCCGGAAGCATCAAGAAGCAATGATTGGCAATACAAATCCAATGCGATAATCGGACAGATGCGGAAGGATGACCGGAAACGATTTCTACACTGAGTACTCGTATACCGGGACCGTGGACCATTGTTACTCGACTGAATCGAGTAATGCAATACATTTACATTTACATTTACATTTACATTTACATTTACATTTACATTTACATACCTCGGCTTATCAAAGTCTAGGCGATAACAGATAACCGGTCTTTTGTACGGGTTATCGCCCGAGGATAGCCAGGAGCCAGGGTTAGTTACATTGTTGCCCAGCATTTGACAAGGTGTGCAGGGCTGGAATTGGTATCAGAAGCAGAAGAAGGTCTGGAAGGAAGTTCTCTTCTCTGAGAGTCTCTCCACATGCAAAAAAGTCAAATGAAATGAATGAATCTCATCATATCAAGATGAAGATTTGATTGTTGAGGAAGATATGAGGATACTGGTTACTCAACAATTTGTTTATATATACACACATATATATGAATCTACCTAGGTACTTGATAGTGAACAATGTCATTGACTAAAAACTCTAATGGAATAGACGATATCGACATCATCTATTTTGTCAAAGCCCTGGAGATCTCTGTTAGTAGGAGTGCTGGTATGATTAAATCTTTATCGTCATCAGGAATGAAGTACTAGTGGAGGTACAAACAAACAAACAAACAAACAAATCCATCATCCATCCATCATCCATCCACCCATACATACATCCATCCATAAAGAAAAAAACGTAAGGCGGCGACAACCGACAAAAGGGATTTCCCCACATTCACAAGCTTAAATCTCAAAGCTTCTAACCAAAAGCTATCTTTCCCCTCCACCCGAATGGCATGCTGCTCTTGGACTTAGGAACTTGCATGCCGAGTGGCTCCTCATTGCCGCGACCAAGCTCCTCATATAGTCATAGCTAGTAGGTATCTTTCCTCTTATTCCCCTCATACATCTTTGAAGTTTTAAGTTGAAGTTTCTTTCATATCTTCTGCACTTCTCAATTCTTTCTAATTTGACATCTCTCTTGACATCTATCTGATATCATCCTCACATCGAATATATACCTACAAGATCAAATCTCATTTCTATCCATATACCCATCAAAAGAGTTGTCCAAGATGTCTCAAGTCGAAGCTCAGTTACAGGGCGTGAACATTTCCGGATCTATCACAGATTTGAATAAAAAGATTCTCAGTAAAGATGCTGTTGCATTCCTTGCTCTCCTTCACAGATCCTTCAATGCAACCAGGAAAGAATTACTTCAACGCAGAGTCATCCGACAAGCAGAATTGGATAAGGGTTCTCTACCAGATTTCCTCCCCGAAACAAAACACATCCGAGAGAATGATGCTTGGAGGGGAGCACCACCTGCGCCGGGATTGATTGATCGCAGAGTGGAAATCACTGGTCCTACTGATAGGAAAATGATTGTCAATGCTTTGAATTCAAATGTTTGGACATACATGGCCGATCTCGAAGGTATGATTCATGTATTCCAGTAGTACATATTCTTTCAAATCTAACCTGCTCATAGATTCCAGTGCTCCAACATGGGATAATATGATCAATGGACAAGTCAATCTATACGATGCCGTCCGAAGACAAGTCGATTTCAAAATAGGCGAGAAAGAATACAAGCTCCGTACCGATCGTACACTCCCCACACTCATCGTCCGACCCAGAGGATGGCATCTCGAAGAGAAGCATTTCACCGTCGACGGCGAGCCCATCTCTGGTAGTCTCTTCGATTTCGGATTATACTTTTTCCACAATGCGAAAGAACTCATCGCCAGTGGATTCGGACCATATTTCTATCTCCCCAAATTGGAATCGCATCTCGAAGCTCGTTTATGGAATGATGTATTCAACCTCTCTCAAGACACCCTTGCCATTCCCCGCGGAACCATCCGAGGAACCGTTTTGATCGAAACCATTCTTGCCGCGTTCGAAATGGACGAGATTATCTACGAACTCCGAGATCACAGCTCGGGTCTCAATTGTGGAAGATGGGATTACATCTTTAGCGTCATCAAGAAGTTCCGCAACAATTCCAATTTCGTCCTCCCCGATCGATCGGCCGTGACCATGACCGTCCCTTTCATGGACGCATACGTGAAGCTCCTGATCCAAACTTGCCATCGAAGACAAGTACACGCCATGGGAGGAATGGCCGCTCAAATCCCCATCAAGGATGATAAAGCTGCGAATGACAAGGCCATGGAAGGTGTCTATGCAGATAAAATCCGCGAAGCCAAAGCCGGTCATGATGGTACGTGGGTCGCGCATCCGGCACTCGCATCAATCGCTTCCGAAGTATTCAACAAACACATGCCTACCCCCAATCAAATGTTCGTCCGTCGAGCCGATGTGAAGATTGGACAAAATGATCTCCTGAATATGAATGTTCCGGGAGCCGTTACCGAAGAGGGGATTCGCAAGAATCTCAATATCGGATTGGGATACATGGAAGGCTGGCTCCGGGGCGTCGGCTGCGTCCCGATTAATTATCTCATGGAAGATGCAGCGACGGCCGAAGTGAGTCGTTCCCAATTATGGCAGTGGGTTAAGCATGGTGTGAGCACGGCCGAGGGAAAGAAAGTCGATAAGGCGTATGCGTTGCGATTACTCAAGGAACAAGCGGATCAGTTGGCGAGTAAGGGAGCAAAGGGTAATAAGTATCAGTTGGCGGCTCAGTATTTCTCGAGTCAGGTTACTGGGGAGGATTATGCGGATTTCTTGACTACGTGAGTTTTTTTGTCTCATCACATCCTATCCTATCCTGCCCTGTCTTTTCTTTGATGTTTTTGGGAAGAAAATCAATCACTAACACATAACAAACAGTCTTCTATATAATGAAATCACCGCGGTGGGACAATCATCGCCTGCTTCTAAATTGTAGTCGTGTGGTCGTCGTGTAGGTAGTTTGTGGGTGCGTGGGTGGATATGATATCATGATATCTGAATTATTGTTATGATTTTGGGTTCGGGGATTTGTTTATTTTTTTATTCATTTATTTATGTATTCATGAGGGTTTTAATGATACATGAAATGAAATGAAATGAAATTGTAAAATGAAGTATGAAATATGAAATACAAAATATGATTTCTTCTCTGTGATGTATTATTTTATACTGCTGAAGGGTGAGGGGTGAGGGGTGAGAGGTGTTCTCTGGGTGTGATTTGAGATGATTACTCGAGTAGGTAGGTAGGTAATTTATGATGAGCTTTTTTCTAGAGGTTTGATGTTTTTTATTGCGCTTGTTGTTGTAAGTCTTACTTTATTTCTTCTTTTTCTTTAATTTTTGATTTACTTTATTTCTTCTTGTAATTCTTCTATGTACGACTTTCTAATTTCTGATTTCTGATTTTTCATACTCTGTACTTTGTACTCTGTACTAACTTTGACTTCGACTTCGACTTCGACTTCGGTTGAGACTTTGACTCCGATTGAGACTTCGGTTGAGAATGGAATAAGAGAGGTGTAGGTGGTATAAGAGAGATATAGGTAGTATAAGAGAGATATAAATGATATAGGGTATAGAGTATAGAATATAAATTATAAATAAGATAGGATTAAATATTTATTATTAAGTATTTATTAGATAGATTATTTGAGGGAAAGGAAAAGGAAGAGAAAAAGAAAGAAAGAGAGAAAAAAAGAGAAAAGGAGAAAAAAGACAGGGAGAAAAGAAGAAAGGGAGAAAAAAAAAAGAAAAAAAAAAGAAAAAAGGAAAAAAAGAAAAAGAAAGAAAGAAAAAAACACAGAAATAGATTGAATTAAATTAAATATAATAGGATATAAGAAATTGAATTGAAAAGCTTTTATTAAATTAAATATAATTATTAAATAAATAAAGAGTAAATATGAAATAAATAAAAAACGATATATTAAACAAATATAAAAAAAATATAAAAAGAACGGGAGAGATATATAAGAACTATAAGAGTTTTAATTGTATTGTTTGTAAAATTAAAATCTAATTATAAATATATAATAATAATAATGATAGTAATAAATATTAAGAATATAAAATAAATATTTATAATAATAAATAAATATTAATAATAATATATAAATAAATTTGAATATAAAAATTTAAAAATTTCAAGATCTAAATATCTATATAGGGATCATTTATATATATATAGTATTAGTCTTAATATTTAGTTTCGTTTTATATATTCAGTTTTTCTATTTTTATTAAATATATTATATGAATTTATGAATTTAGAGATTTATTATATAATAAATCAAAGTTTAAGTAATTACTATTAATTTTTATATTTTTTTATAAGAGTATTAGAAAAATCAGAACTATACGTTTTTATATGAGAGTATGTATTAGCTTGTATAAGTTAAATTTATTA